TATGTATGTAAGATTAAATTTTTAAGCGTACCGTAAAACAAATATTGTTCGTCAATGACTTAACAAATATCTATCTATTATATCATAGTATTCTTCTACACAGTTCTTCTTTAAAGTTTTAATAGATAAGTACTGTTCTCATAGTGGATATCAATATATAAAGATTAAACAAGTCGGAGACGATTTTCGACATTGATGAATACCAAAATCATATATTTAATTTTAGAGTTGATTTATGAAGTAATATTGTATTTTATCAGGCATTTAACTTTAATTATAATCATACTAAAAAACAATATAACTAAATAAGTATAAAACGTTCATTTCCATTAATGCCCAAAATTTTGTCAAATAAATGTATATATTCTTAAATTTCTTTACATTTCAGAAATTATCAACATTTTTTTGACAAATTGGGAAGAACATATATATATATATATATATATATATATATATATAAACAGAAGTATATATTTTTTTAGATATTACAAAACAAGTTGGATAAAATTATATTTTAATGGAGTGGGAGTATATAGAAGTATTGTATATTTGATTATATAAGAATATTGTAAATTAAAATATTTAAATCAAGTTATATTTCTAGATGCTATTTTAAAATAATTTCGAATTTATAAATAATGATAAAAATATAATCATATTAAATAATTCAATACCAGACTTAATAGAAATATCTACTTAATATGAAAATTTATATAGTTGAGTACGGGTAAATTGTAATATCGACAATATAAATTATTATTTATTTACATAATCCGTTAATTTTTTATAGAATTGTTTTATAAATCATACATATTTTAAATGGGCGTAACACGTTTCCACTAAAAGTGTATCTTTTCCTTTTCCACCAATATCCGTTTCCACCAAATAAGATAAAATACCTATACTTTTTATGAGTTTTTCGGATTGATGTAAAATATATATAAATATACACACAATATAATCAATGTATATTGTACATTTATTGTATTTAATTGTATGTTAAACCATTATCGTACTTATGCATGTACTTTTATGTCCATTAACCATTATAATATCTAAATAATAAAATACTTTATGAACAAGTGAAAAGATGGCACAGTTTAAATAGTGCATTACAATTGTGTGTGTATTAAAATAAAACGTAAATTTTAAAATTTATAATTCTATAATGACTAAAGTTATCGAAAATAAACGTAGAAATAAAACACTAGAACTAAACAACTTTAAATTTTTTATTGGATCAGTTAACAAATATCATCTAATTATATATATAGTTATAATTTACATAGGAAACTAAGGTATCGTATACCATAATATATCATTTTTTTCAACTTTTTATACCTAACCATTTTTATAAATAAAATTTAATATTTTCCAACCTATATTGTATATATTATAAAATAACTTTACATTTATTAAATTAATAGTATATGTTAAATAAAGTTATTTTTGTGCTATAGCTTTTAATTTAAGCGTAGTATACAATCGTTTTGGAAAAAACGTGGTCAATATCTCATTTGGTGGAAACGGATATTGGTGAAAAAAGGAATGATATACTCTTGATGAAAACGGGTATTGGTGGAAACGGGCATCACTCTTTTAAATACATTATTAATTGGGTTAAAATTATTCTTCGGGTTTAAAAGTTATAGTTTTTATATTAAAATCATATATCTAATATATGTATTAAAAATAATATTTATGTATAATTAAAATTATCACAATTTCATAATATATAATATAATTATTAAATTATTTGTATGTAATTATTAGTAAAAAAAATAATGTTGTTAATACGTTCGATTGTTAATTTTTAAATAAATAATATTTATTTGAATATTTCTATTATGACAAGAAAATGTACAGTCTATTCAAAATATTACAATACTTATATGTGAAAATAATAGTTCAAATATTAGGTATTTTACGAAATTAAGAAGTCATCCAAAAGTAACACTTTGCTCGAAAAACATAAAGAAAAAGAGACACGAGAAGAAGAAATAAAAGAAAAGAAAGTTCAATGATTTTAAATTACTTGATATTTAAAAAAAAAAAAAAAATCGAATAGGGTATATTTATATTTATACACATTTGACTAAAATAATTCCAATTTAAAATTATAAATAATGCCATTTAATTAAATTTTATAAAGGGTAAAAAGAGTAGTTGTTGTTCGTTCTTACTTCGAAAACGTTACTAACAGTTTTTAATTTTTTTTTACCATAATAAAATTTATCTATTTTTTTTTTTAATTTTTTCAAATCTAAACTAGTAAGTATAAAATATTTGGTTCTTCATCTTTCTTCAAAAATAACTTTATAATGCCATTGAATTAACCTATGTAAAAAAAAAAAAATTAAAAGCTTTAATACAAATATATAAATTATTTAATAAAAAAAAAAAAAAAAAAAAAACTATGGTAATTATTCTTAATAAATTACCTTCACATTTTTATAAAAAGTTATAAAAACGGTCTTTTATGAATTACATATTACACGTGGGAGAATTAATAAAAAAAAAACATGAAAACTAATGAAAAAATATTAATATTCTAGATTATAAATATTATATTTTTGGTTTTATTAAAATATAATAATTTCTTCGTTTTCATGGTACCGAACTACCATTGAATCCATTAGGCTAATAACATTAATATCGATGTTTTCTCATAATTATATGATTAAAAAAATATACAATATAGTTTAGATATAACAATGTTCTAAATTCTGTATTATGTCTTAATTTTTTTGTACTATGTAAATATTTAATAAATGTTATCTTAATTTTGACGGTAACATTTTAAAATTAAATTTTCCTTATAAAATGTATACTCATATAAACATGAAACATATCTAAAACGGAATACATTGGAAGCATCAAAACTTTGTGTTCCTGTAAGTTCCCGATTTAATCTAGCAAATATTTATTTACCTTTATACCCTTTGCTTAAGCCAAAAGTAAAGGCATAAACTAGTTGGAATTATGGAAATGGGGGACAAAACGAAAGTATTCAATACCTTATAATGAAATAAAAATTGGTCACTGCGCTCACATAACATAAATTATGTAATGTAAAAGTATCGATGTATTTTAATTTTATGTTTGAAAATTACTTGCCCTCCCGCCTACCAAATTAAGGGTAAAAATTACCCCCTTGTTCTCTTATATTTAGGTCTCTGGCTTTGGCCAGATTTTGTATGTTTTCATAAGTTTCGGTAATCATACAAAAGTCGAGTCTAACTTCAACCAATATCAGTTGATTTCTGATTTACTTTATTAATATACTATATGTAAAAGTGAAATATATTATGTAAGGAACATAATAATTTAGCAGTGATTTTTCATTTTATCAACACAATTAAATTTTCTGTCAAAAAATTATTCTTGAAAACAGTGAATTTTTATGAATAGCTTTATTGTTAACGAATTATAGTATTTTATGTTTTGATAGATCGATGAGTTGAGCAATGTATTTATTGTTAAAAAAAAACACATGTTTAAATTTCAGTAGAGGATACTTTCGTAAAATAATTAAGATTGTTTTACAAACATTTGTGGTCACAAGTATATATAAAACGATAGAATGGATTTCAAAAACTATAACGTCATAAACCATAAATGTATGTTTTGATTATATAAAATTAATAGTGATAGTTGTAATAATAATAGTAGTATTTGATTAATAAGTAAATCTGATGCACTTAAATACACTATTTGTATGTTTATTTTAATCCAAGTGTATTTGAAAATAAAGTTTTGGGTATTGATTTTAATAAAAAAAAAAAAAAACAGCAATGCACAATATACGTCGTACTGTTGAATCAAAGTTCTTCAAATATCCGTCAATAATATTTAATAATAATATTATTATGGAATTTTATTCAGAGCATCTATGTTAATGATATCGTTATTGTTATCCGAAAAATAATTTTTAAGAGAATTTAAAAATATTTTTTTGAGACCAAAAATTCAATAAATTAGGTCTCAAGCAGAAAACATTTTACCAAAACTACAATAATACTAAAAACAAAATTAAAATAAAATAAAATAATTATATCAATTAAAAACAAAAAAATTAAATTTCTTAGATTACACATTTTAGGCAATAGGCCATTTTTGTTCAAAATCCTCAAATGTCATGGCCATACGCCGTGTATAGAAAAAATCGTGTTAGCCAATGATTTCGGCAGCATGGAATATTTTTAACACTCTTGATAACATTTTTGACTATGTAACCACGCCATAAAATTTGTTTTTAATTTTCTTAAGCGGTATATGTACGAGGTGTTTTATTTTGTGCCCTCACCTTGAGCTTTAAAGGATCTTCATGTTTTAAATGGCATCAATAGTATAATATAATAACGAAAATATCAAGTAATAGAAATCACGGTCATTACATCTTTGTATCACGTGGTTATGTACATAACTTTTTGAAGTTAACGTCGTTTCACACTATAAGTACTTAAAAATTTTGTAACTTCACGTCAATATATTGTTCTATGTTGTCAACAATGCCAGTAAATGTGACCATTTCTTTATAAATTACTCAGAAAAGTATTTTGGCGGGTTCGGTCCGTAGTTTAACGTTGACGTTCCGTAGAATAGTGTTCAATACGAGAATTATTATTTGCCCAATATATGAGGTAGTGCGATAAGTATTTCAAAAACACAATTGAACTCGACTAATAGTATAGATTCCTCTAAAATTCGATTTTATACTCATGAAATGCACCAACATTATATAAAACGATATTACAAATTTATAAATCGATGTGCAAAATATTCGTAAAATTTGACATTCATAAATGAGAGCCATTTGACCCGAAATATATTTTGTGACGGATTCATATATGTATTTTCGAAATTCTGTTCCGACGTACTGCCGGTCCACAAAATAAATACGTCCGAATACTATAAACGTTGCAAACGATATTGGATCACTTGAAAACCTGTTCCGTCGATATTTACCCGAAGTCTAGTAAAATGTTAATTTCACACAGATTACTATCGATTTAGACATCGAATACATGTCGTCGAACGGCAGCGGCAACGGTAGTCAAAATCGGACGCCATCGTTGTTCAGTTCACGACCCGAGTCGCCCATCGAGTCAACGGACGAACGGCAGATGCTGCTGGACGTGGAGAAAAACATCGCCAACCTGGAGAAGACATTCACCGATAGCCGGAAGATGGGCGAGCGACAGGATGACGAGGATGTTGCGGGAGGTGCGAAGGATAGCGCAGGACGAGGCAGGACGAGCAAGAAAGGATTGTTCCGGTACAGCTCATTCACTTCGGATAAAGACGGCGGCGGTGTGGAGCGAAAAAGGTGAGTCCAACTTCATCGATCATTTAATTTACTGAACACCGTATTTTTGATTGGGAGTGATTTTACGCGAAGTTTAATCGAGGGTTCCGATCGTTTCGATATTCCATTTCCGTCACAACCCTTTTGGCATACGTCAAACGTCATTCGGTGTCTGTACGTACATAGGATACGCAACTATGCCAAACAACCGATACGATCAAAACTAACGACGGTTATTAAAGGTCTATGTTTCCAGGCCCTCTCTTCCTCTCACCCGTACAAGTACTAACCTAACTGTGGTCTCAGACAGTTTGATTAAAACTAATTGTTTCGCACGAAATTATTACTGGTAAAATCGCCCGAACGCACGTAATATCGTTATAAAGCCCGTCGATTAACATGCATTCCGCAGGAGATGTTTCAAATCGTTTATTGCCAGCACTCTAAGTCTCTTTACGGACGGATCACACGCGTATTGCGCAGCTTCGCATCGGTTTATCTGGCCTTAACGCGGATCGCAATAATAATGTTATGCAAACAATTCTGGCAAATACGTGCATTGTTTCGCGGAAATATTTATATAGACCGATGCATCATCGCCAATTGCATATAACCGGGGATAGCACGTCCTATGTGCTTGTGAAAATGCACATGAAAACAACGATCATGCCTAATCCATGATCATGTAATCCATTTAATCGTTCGGATAAATTAATTCGGACAGTATTTTTTAACAGCCAAATGGATTTGAAGTCTTCGATATAAGTTATCTAAAATCGATTGAGATCATTTTATTTACCTAGATTTGAATTCATTACGTACACATTAAAATTATTCATTTAATCTTGGTGATACTGATATTTATGAGTGGCTCCTTTAATTATTACTTTCTCTATAATTTAATTCAATTTCCACGTACTTATATTTTGTTTTGTGTACAGATTGCGTAAATATCATTAAATTTAAAAAATAAAATCTTTGTGACAGTGAAGTACACATTGAAGTAATACACTAAAATATATTCTTAAATATTTGGATAAATAAGTTACGGGCAGAAATACTCTAGAAGATATTTATCGAAAAGGACAAAATTCAATTTGTACACCGATTCAACGTATTTTTTATTTGTTTTCCAAATTTTCTATCGAAACGACCGTCAGAGTTTTTGTTGACATCAAATACTCTTGGAAGGTTATGTGGAGTATCACTTGTAACCCCTTCTCTGAGTAGAGAATTGTTACTAGTGTGAACTTCACTCCTAGTGGGGTTGTTCCGGTGAGGAACAACATAGAGTAAGCAACCAGAACGATAGTGGAAGAGAGATACTTCAGAATTTATTTTATAGCAGTGGTTCCCAAAGTGTGAGGCATGCCTCCTTTGGGATTTTTTTTAATATTTCTTTTTTTTTGGGGGGTTGCGTAACCAAAAAAAATTTGGGAACCGTTGTTCTATTGAATGTTTTTTGCATTAACTCGGGTTCGCACTGGTGACTGCGATCGTGGTAATCAATTGCGTGACCATTGCACCACATTGCTCCTTAAATTCAATGTATATGAATAATAAAAAATAGATTTGTTTTTCCTGTTGACCAATACGCAAAATTAATTTTATCTTTATTTTCAACCTTAAAACATATTTTTATTACATTTTTATTACTATTTGTCGTATAATAATTTTTTAATAAAAATTGTATATTTTTATAAAACAAAATAATTTCAGGTAACTTTTTAAGATGTAAAAATATAATTTATTATATTATTACCCTCTGCTTGTCAATGATACTTTGTATAATTTGTATTTGAATAAATTAAAAAGCTTTTGTGAATTTTAAAATGTACAAACAATTGGTATTTAAATTACTCTTATTGCAATACAATAGAGACGCTGTAAGGCACTGCATAGTAATTACAAAAATACATTTAGCCTAACTAATATCTGGTTATAATATTATATATTCTCGGATAAACCACAAGACTTAATATAGATATTATATATAACCAATTATTAAATTGTTCATCACATCATATCTCGTATAATTTATGCTAATTAAAGTAATTTACCGTTTGTTCATATTGTCAACTGTTATTATTTTTATATTGTATTACTGTTTAAAAACATTAATATTTAAAAGGAAAAACAGATGAACATTTTGAAGATTATAATTCCGTTCATTCTTAAACTTTTTAATTGTGTCAGATTTCGTAACAATATCATTTTGTTCAAAGGAAACTGCTTTTATACCCCACTTAAATATATATACATATCTACTTAAAGTGAACCATTTGAGCAGATGTGTTGTGATTTAAAATTTGAATACGGTGATGTAACAGTAGACCCATCTGAAAATAATTAATTCATAAGCATTTATACTGTAATACTATTATTACAGCGTACACGAGTATTTCAAATATTTAAAGCATTACGATTTTAAAAAAAATTCAAAGGAATAACTATTCATTTATGCATTCGATTTTCCAATTCGTTTAATATGCCAGATGGAGGGATTGGAACAAATTCATCGGAAAAATGAATATGGCTTAGACGCGACAAAACACATATTATCGCTACAACACATATATACATAACAATACATTCAAATGAATACTCCTACTCAAATTAACCGTCCAAAAAAACCTAAACGCACTTTGTAACGGTCTTAATTATAACATTAATTGAAATATTGTTACAATTTTATTTATTGAATACATGTTATTATACAAAAAATAACAAACCTTCAGATGTTTACAAGGTAAAGATGAATTCATTTGTTCATTTACAATGACACATTAATTAATAATCAATTCACTGGACATTTAATAACTATACTTGATATGTATATGTGGAGTTGTATCTATAATCTCGTTGTGAATATATCCTCCTTCCTACGGAAAATTATGACCGACTGCGTCAGTCCTCAGCTAACCCGTGTTTTACAGCTTGACCGGTGGCAGAAACGTTGTAGGTCCGTGTCGTGTGGTACAACTCGGCCGGTGGCTTTGGTGTACCTACTCCGTACATATGCTAACAACGTCCGTTCAAATCACTAGTTTACCAATAACAAATTGCCAATTTGTCGCCGAATGATTTGAACAGTGCCGTATTAAGGCTCGGGAACACAGAACGCGGTCTATCGCGGCGGTCAGCGACATTTTTCCGCGGCGGTAAGGCAGTAAAGATGTGATACGTAATATCGCATTATCCCTATCGCACAGAGGACGTTCTGTCGTGGCGGTACAATTTAGATCGCAACGGCAGGCGATACCGTTGTACAAAATTACGCGCAGGCAGCTGTCGATCTGTTATTATATATTGGTTTTTTTTATATTCTATTATAAAGTAAATATATTATATTTTTAAAATGACTGAAGAATATGAAATACTCATCGAGCAAGTTAGAAAGTATGTGTACTTATTCGACATATCTCATGAGAAATATAAAAATGCAGTAAAAAAAGCCAAAGCATGGGATAATATATCTGCCGAACTGGGTATAACCGGCAAGTATAGGTAGTATTTTATAGTAGAAACTAAAAGTAGTAACATATATTAAAATATAATAGATTTATTAATAGAATAGATTTCTATACTTATTGTCTTTATGGATTAAGTTTTTCCTTTTATTTTTAAGGGCAAGTAATAAAAGAAATCGTTCCTCGTTAGAATTTGACATTTTTGTAGAATGATGATTATTAATGAAAAATGTAATCAAGTGGACAGATATAAATCGGCAACTGTATACTAGATCACCAGTTTATGACTGCCGACCGCTCACATAATTATCGCTGCCTGTGTGCCGTTATCAGATCGCTGACCGTCGTGACAGACCGAGTTACGTACGCCCGAGCTTTTAGTCATAGTACAAAGCGATACTGCCAAAATTGTTGATTTTAGACATGTTCCCTGTGCCGTTTTATGCTCACTTCGAGGTGTGATAGTCGGGTGCTGGAGAACTAATATCTCATTTATTTTGTATTATTTTACGTCTTATTCCGATGATATTCAGATTTATTGTTATCTATGAATGTTTTTTTAAATCCGTACTTTAATAATATTTGTAACTTTTATATGTAACCCGTGAATAATTACGAATAATCTGGTTTAGAACTGACTATCTGGGTACCACGTTCTCTGATGTTATTATATTGGCCCCTTATTAAATTAGTGCGCTCCACATTCCGCTATGCGGCGCATCGTAAGTGTTCACGGGGTGCACAAGCGTACCGTGCTCGTTACAACTTATTTTAATGCTTATTTTTTTCTAATTTTTTTTTTTTTGATTTTTCAATATTTTTATTCGTGTGATACTTCGATACACAGATCTACGCAATTAATCTTAATAACTACCTACTCAAAATGTTTATCAATAGTGAGAAGATGGCACAATATTGTTTTTGTGCTACTAAAGAAACGACATTTTAAATTGTTTTACATAAGTATTAAGAGCGTTCTTTCAATATCGATTTCAATTTCATTACAAAAAAAAAAAAAAAAAAAAGATTACAATTAATTTTACGGAACATATTTTAATTTTTTTTTTTTTTTAGTTCTGATTTAGATCATTGTAATTATTAATTTAAGGCATAGTATTTTTATTTTTTACATTCATCAAAACGCAATTATATATACTATAGGTACAAATACCAAATTAAATTAAAAATAACTATACTAATGTAATTTTAAACTGTACGAGTAATTAATGTTACTATTATGAATCCAATAATCTTAAGTAATTTAACCCATAACCCGTAATTTGATTATACTCACATTTCTAGATCATAAATTGCATGATGAATTCATGCTATGTAGTCAGATAAAACTATTTTGCTTTAAAATCATTATGGAAAAATTTCCATTGTGATCAAATTACATTCCTATAAATTATGTTATTATTATTATTATTATTATTATTATTATTATTATTATTATTATTATTGTTCAAATATTCAAAACTTAAAAATATCATAAGCTATAAATACTGTAATTTTATCGTTTTATCTGAGTAATTACATTTTTTAGTTAAAATAAATAAAAAAAAATCAATTCAAAATAAATTTGTTTGCGTGCAAACTTAACTGGTGAAATAAATATAAAGAAGTACAATATAATAAAACAGCTTAATATAATTTATAAATATATCAAAACTAAACAAAAATTATGTATAATTTTAAGATACAATTTTTTTAAAAGATTTTAGTTAAACAACAATTTGAATATCTACAATATGTCCGACAGTATGAAATATGTCTTAAATATATTTAAGTCTGTAAGTCAATATTAAAACCCATCTAAACTTACCGATTACAACTGTTTAGTATGACTAAAAACCTAATCAAGTTATTAGATTCAAAATTATTAAATCAACGTTTATCAGTAGGGCTCGGAAGTTGTAGGAGCTAAAAAAGGCAAAATATTCATACAAATATGCATGAATAAATTGTAAAATATGCATGAAAAAATGTTAAATATGCAAAAAAAAAATGTATTTAATATGTAAAAAATTTTTTATTAAATATGAAAAAAAATGTACACATGTAACAAATTTTTTTTATATGTTTTTATTAAATTCAAATTTTTTTGGGTGATTTTTATGGATTGTCATTTTTTCAATCTAAAAAAAATTAGAATGAAAGTTATTTGAAAAATTATATTTATTTGTTATTAATTCAATAATCATATAGATTATTGTAACTGTCATACCTTTAAATGTATTGCATTAAACAATCAGAACTTTCTTTATATTTTCCATATCAAACGAACGACGATTGTCTGAAAGTATATTTTTGTAGATCGAAAAACTTCTTTCAACATCCGATGAAATATGGTTAATGTATTATTGTGTATAATGTTAGTATTAATAATGCACTTGCCATATTGCTATTAGATTAACGATAAAGTCTATAATATTATATAGTGTTCACCTTAATGCTATAAAAATAAATACACTCCGTTAAAATAAATTGATATAATGACGGTAATGTACGGCGACCAATACGTTAAATAATCGAAAATAAAATATAAGATAACTTCAAATTCTTTAGAAAATATTACACAGGCATAAAAATCTCATGAAAATTAAGAAATATGCACTTTTTTCTAAAATTGCCAAAATATGCGAAAAAAATGCATTTTTAATTTTTATATTTAAACTCGTTTTTGTATGGTACGGATTTCTAGCTTGGTCTGCTATAAATTGAGAGTATACAGAAAAATATGCAACTCCTACGGCTTCCGAGCTCGACTTATCAGAATATTACTTTACGTGCAATCACTGACGTTCCTCCTTACATTTATAACCAAACCTTTCACAGTGACATATAAATTAAAACAAACGAAGAAGAATTCGTAATATTTTATAAGCGATTCTTTTCACGTCTAGATAATCACAAAAACCTACTCAGCAGAAATTGTAATACCATAAACTTACCCGTAGTACCTTGCCGTCGGCTAAAAAGAAGATGTTGTAAAGATCTTTAGCTCTAATTAGCCTATTAGAATTTTCTTTCATGCTTTTCTCGTTATTGTTTCTCTTCTCTAGCAATTCATATACTATAATACGTATAATATATTCTTTATTTTTAACCAATGCACGAGTTAAGTGTTTTAATGGGTGACTTCTAAATATTCCTAAACTATCTGCTAAATATTTACTTATTTCACGATACTTATTTTGCACTATGTATAGATTTTATATTTATAAAAAAAAAATTTTAAAAAAAACGTAATTTAGTGTACCATAAGGTAAAATTTTCTCATTTAAAAACTGAATATATAAATATATCTTATATGCAGTTAACTAGTTTTGTATATTAAATTATTTGCATATACTATTTTCTCTAGATCATACATAAATCTATTAAAAAAATCTCTCTATATTGTTCTCTATTAAATTTCACCGTTCAAATTTAAATTTTAGTTAATTATTATAGCTATTTGAGCTCATGCAATTTAATTACAGGATTAAACGAACCTATCCAAAAGTATCATCAATAGTTTAAAATTTTTCCTAAAGTATATAACAATTGAAAATTAAAGAAAATTAAACTTGCAATTTTCTCATATTATTTTTTGAATATCTGTATAATATAATTTATGACAATATTTAATATTTAATAAGTTTCTTATAATTTTAAATTTTACTCTTGTCATTTTTCTTTTTTCTTTAATAATACAATATTTATGCCAATATTTTTTAATTTACAATAATTTAGAATATGCTTATTACAATTATTATATAGGTATTGCTGCATACACCTCGTTAATTTCATGTCTTGTCAATAAATGGAAGAAGTTTCTTTTAATGTATTAATGAATATAATCTGTGTTATTATTTATTATTAATCATTTTTCTAATTAATACTAATGAATTCAAATTCTATGAATTGATTATTCGTATATTATCATTTGAATTCTAAATACAAAGTATGTACAAAAACTTAATAGAATAAAATTTATATTAATAATCATATTTAAATAATTTAAGTTGAACTAAAAAAGTCATTAGATGATTTATAGGTCAATTTCGTTAAAATATAATTTAAAATCAACAGTCCAAAAATATTTTATATAGTTAAATTAAGTTAATTGGTTAACTTGTCTAAACACTTAATAATAAGTTTCTAATAATATATTAATGTTTGATCAACTCACACGTAACATAGATTTATAATATTATAATATACCATGTCATTATATTTATATATTTGATAAAAAAAAAAGTATACAATTCGATTATATTTTATTCTTATAGCCGTGGAACAATGTTCAAAAAAGGCGTTAAAAGTTTAATGAGAATGGGTAAACAGAGAAATTCACAAGACAAGGAGGCATTGGTGGACAGCGATGATAGTGCACAAATGGCTCCTATTACTTATCGAAGAGGCCACGCGACAGAGACAAGTGATCTTTCATCGGACAACGAGTCTATTAACTCCCTCAACGCTGAATATTCACCCAAGCCGAGAAAGTAAATTACCCAATAAGTAGAAAAGTAAAGTTCTTAAAACTGAATACAAGATGTGCAATTTTTTTTCTTTCTATTTTTAGACCGTTGAAACACAAAGATCAACTAAATACGACCCAGAACGCACTCAAATCGCAAGATTTTCAAGTTTGCGTTACTATCATTGAAGCCAGACAACTGGCAGGGTTAAATATGGATCCCGTGGTCTGCGTACAAGTTGGTGAAGTAAAGAAATACACGAGCGTGAAGGAAAGCACTAATTGCCCATACTACAACGAGGTATGCTTATGCGCAGTATTGTAACAATATTATTAGAACGTGTACGCTAAAGTGTACTACAGTTTTAACGTTCCATTGACCGACAATGAAATGGGCTACAATACCGACGCTTACTAGTACATTCGAACGCATGATCGTAATCATATCCAGGGATCTATGAATATAAAAAAAAATTCCCTACGATTCTCAAATTACGAGTGTACCACGTCATCTAACTATTCAATTATAGAGTCTTATAAATCCATAAAACCGGGAATTATTTTCAACCAACAATATATAATATTTCGAAACCATAGATATTTTGTACGGTATTCACTTGTATACCAAACTTTTGTTAGCTTTGGCTCATAGTGAAAAATGCCAAATCTTAATTCAAAGAGTTGTATTCATCAACTCACTATATAGGTCGTCGTCTTGAGTGTTGGGTTTAGTCATAATATTATAATTTTGGATTTATGAGAAAATATTCATGAGACTGAATTTAGGCCTAAATATTTCAAGTCAGTAAACTGATATTTACTTATTTATTTATTTATTATTTCTATATATATTATGTATACTTAATATGCTTAGCTAAAATTAACTGAATAAATAAAAATATGAATTAAATTATAAAATAAAAAATTTTACAAAAATATAATAAATTCAATGGGATTAAAATGAAAAAAGTAAATTGGTATTTTATTAGCAATGACAATTATTCCATTGATCGGAGATGTTAATGACTAATCATTTGTGTATAATTTTATATAAAATTTATTAGTTAATCTATTTTTAAACCAACAGATGCTTAAGTTAAAAAAAAAATCTTACAGTTCTAAAGAAATTTTAAATCCATTTTAAAGTTTAAATTACATATAATTACAGATTACATATTATTACACATATACCTATATCATAGGTACGATATGTTTTTACTAACGACAAAGTAATGAAATAATGTTATTTACTTGTATTTTAAATTTCCAATACCTATAACATTTAATTATTATTATCGTCATAATATGTATCTAATTATCTGTTAAGTATTTAATTTTATTAAAAAAACCGTTTTAATTAAATATAATTTATCAAATTCAGTAAATAAAATTAATTAGCCTCGCATCCAACACAATTCATTGTTCTAATATTTTGTTTTTTTTTATAAAACGCCTGTAATCTTTGTACATAATTATAATTCTAGATTATTTACATTACCAATGTGACATATTCATAATTTTAATCGGCTTAAAATAACGATATATTTTGAACAAACTCGGTTAAGTCATAAAAAGCTTTATGGCCAATACCTTTTGTAAATATATAGTATATTACATTATATACTTTATTTATAATAGCAACATTTTGCTATCATTCTTTATGACATTATAATTCCTACATAAAATCCGAGCTTATTTTTGAGTGGGATTAAAATATTTAATTTTCGTCTTTCCCGACTTATAATTATAGTGTTCTTTTATTTATTTAAATTTTTTGAGCATTAATCTCATTATTCTTACCTGAATAATTCATTATCTTAGATAATTTAATCATGAAATTCACTATTATATACATAAAAGTCTTAAATTATACATTCAAATAAGACGAACATATTTGGAGCATAGATCATCAATTTCAAGCGTTAAAACCAAGAGTTAAAAATACTATCAAACTAACCGGTTCATTTTTTTATAATAAAATCGAGTATGTCAAACACCTATAAATATACACAAATTACAATAAAATATTTTAAAAATTCTAAAATATATTTCAATGTTAATATAAGTAGCGCTAAGTTAATATTTTAAGTCATTATGATTTATACTTTTAATAATAAACATCCGATTCTAAAACACATTTTTGATATACACATATATTCTACTATATATGTTATTTTCCTCATCAGATTCAAGTAATCATAACAATACAGGGTGTATCAAAAGTCTTCATCCGATTTCAGAATATTATATTTATATTAAAAATGAAGATATAAGGGTTAAATAAAGTAAAATATATTCTTAAAATAGTCAAGTTTTATTTACTTTGGTTACAAATATTCAATATAACCCCCACCGGTCGCCCGACACACATCTATACGGTAATCATATTCTTTCCAAACGTTGCTGATCAAATTTGGTGTCACGGCATTAACAGCATCTTTGATTCTGATTTTAAGCTCTTCCAAGTTTGTAGGTAATGGTGGTACATACACTTTATCTTTTATGTAGCCCCATAAAAAAAAATCACATACTGTGAGGTCAGGGGAACGTGGTGGCCATGGATGAATCGCCAAATCGTCGTTTCCTTTACGCCCAATCCACCGCTGAGGGAATTCACCGTTCAAATACCGGCGAACTTCTAACTTCCAGTGCGGCGGTGCTCCATCTTGTTGAAAAACAAACTCATCACTATCCGCTTGTAACTGTGGAAACAACCATGTTTGCAACATGTTTAGATATGTGTTACCCGTTACTGTGTTTTCTTCAAAAAAAAAATGGACAGTAAACTTTTTTACTGGAAATTGCACAGAAAACATTGATTTTTGGTGAATATCTTTGATGCACAACAGTTGCGTGTGGTTGCTCTAAAGCCCAAATCCTGACATTATGGCGGTTGACTTTTCCACTTAGATGAAATGTGGCTTCGTCCGAAAAAAACAATGCGTGAGACAAATGACTCATTTTCTTCTTGTTTTTCGGATATGAAATTGCAAAAATCAATCCTTTTTTGTTTGTCATCCGGTAGGAGGGCTTGTAACAGTTGTATTCGGTATGCCTTCAATGTCAAACGACGTCGTAGAACACGCCAAACGGTCGAATGTGGGAGATCTAGCTCTAGGCCTGCACAACGTGTAGACTTCTGTGGACTTCGAACAAAACTTTGTCGAACTCGCTCGATGTTTTCGCCAGAGGTACGAGGTCGACCTGAGCGTTTCTGTGCACACAGACAACCACTTTCTTGGAAAGTTTGGTGCCAACGTTGAATGCTTTGAGTAGTAGGAGCTTCAGTTCCATAAGTTCTTCGAAAATCACGTTGAACGGTTATCGCCGACTCACACTTATTGAAACGTAAGACGCAAAATACTTTCTGTTGCGGAGTCGCCATAACGAAACAAACTAATGATTCCTAGTTCACTAACCATTACGGTGCCAAATTTATTAACTAAATAACTTAAAATAAACTTGATTATCTAATCTTTCCATTAATACATTGGTCATTAACCTGCGATTAACCGTCGCCGAACTATATCAGTTCGTAATCGGATGAAGACTTTTGAAACACCGTGTATAACCTTCATTTAAAATACAACGATCACTATATTATTAATAATATTTAAATTTACAACACAACAGATATATTGACCATAAACTAATTGTTACAAAGTGTCGATAAAAATAAAATATTAGTTTTAAAATTTAAATCAAAATGCCGAAAATTATCGACTATATTACATTTATACAAAGGTCCTACATTGGTAACTCCTGCCCAAGCGTGAAATGTTAATTTCAAACAACAAATACACTTATTTTTTGGTGTACTAATATCATGGGCGATGGGCTTTTCTTCGTAAAATACGAGTATAATGCGTAATGTACCTACTCATATCTCTTTAGTTTGTCCATTAATTTTCATGACAAGAATACTCAGTGATCGTTTTGTTTATATGCACATATTAAAAACAAAAAAAGTTGTACTCTACATAGAGGCTTCACATATCTTGTTTACTACTACTACAAAAGTGATTATCCTTAACTAAAAATTGATAATCGATTTAAATATATGATTGTATGAATCAAAATTGTTAAAGTATAATCGAATAATCAGAAAATTACCCTTTTACAGTATAAGAAAAATAAAATGTATTACTAATAAATTAACTTAAACATTTCATACATTTAAACAGTGTTATTATTTTAAATCTATGCTATTTTCTATAAGCTTTTCAGAATTCAAAAAATATTTTTTCTTGGTTTTTAGATAGATAGATAGATAGATAGATGTATCAATACAATTCTTATGACCTACGACTGACTATAGTGGCGTTATATCATATAATGATAATAGATTTATTATTATTCAACCGCTCATCAATATATAATAGGAACACGTAGAAGTTCAAACACTAACGCAGAAACATAAAACCACTTTGAAAAAATAAAAAAACCATCATTCACAGAACATGTACACATACTTTTGAAATAAAAAGATTAATATTTAATATTAAGCATTATAAAAATATCACACAAAAAACTTTTAAAATTAAAATTTTTATTTTTCTATTGAACAAATATAACAAGTATAATACTATTGGATTTTTGTTATACTGGGCAAAATATTGAACGATCAATAATAATGTTCAATTTTGAATTAAAGAATTACAAAACGATTCAATGCCAAACTAATCATACAACTTTCTTCGTGTAAAATCCATTGGCTATCACATCATAGAATCAATGCCTTACTTTCCTTTATCAATTACTAGTCCTTTCCTGTCAATTTCTTTATCCAGAAATCCTACATCTTCTCATATCACAGAACAATCTCTTCTACTAGTTGGTGTCCTCTTTCAGAAACTTGCGTAAAAGTTGATTTAGTCTTCGTCAAGCATGTCCAATCAATAGTTATATTTCACCCTTGATTGTATTCCATATGTAAGTGATCTAGAAAATACTTTCTAAGTCGTCAATTTCCCACGATTCATTAAAAATTTCATTGTAAATATTTATAAATAATAGTCGAATCAATTATTTTAAATACTATTGCATAGTTTATTTGTGGTATGGTATAAAATAAATTCTTCAGCTCTTATATAACTATAGATTATAATACTTATCAAATAACACTAAACTGCTTACTTTCAACATTTATTCATACATTTTTGTATTTATAAATATTATATTTCTTTTTTGTTTCAGTATTTTGTATTTGATTTTCATATGCCATCTGTGATGTTATTTGATAAAATTATTACTCTATCGGTAAGTTAGTTTTATGTTATTTACACGCTTATATTTTATAATTAAATTATACATGCCCTAACTGAAGGCTTTGATGTCTTTTCCAACGACCCACAAAGTCAATAAAAAAATTGGGGAGACATCACTGTTGGACCCATGTATTTAAATTATCTAATTTATTCAATTAGCTTACTTCTCATCATCTTACATTAACGAAAAAAATCTTCTAAATTTGCCTTCTACATATTTTACTTTTACATTAATATGATCATGATTTATATATAAATATAAAATAATTTATTTGTATTACTTTTATAAATTTAACATTTAAATATATCAATACATCGTAATGAAGATAAGATATTCATCATAATGTATATTTTATATATAACATTTTAAATAATAATTTACAATATAAAACTTTTTCACATTAAGTAGACCAACCATTTTAGAATAAAAATATTTAATTATTTAAAAATACTCCCCAATACTTATTTGTGCTTCGTTCTGTTTTATAATACATTAACCAAGAAATATGCCTTAAAATGAATTCATATATTTTATAAATTTATATGGTACGAGCTATTTTTTTGCGTACGTAAAAATAGAAAAATATTTCAAGTACTTAACTGTGTTCCGTAAACACAGCTTCCATAACATTAAAATTAATACATTTTCACTTTATTTTTTTTTTGGTACTTTTTACTTATATTATTTATTATAATATAACTTTGTTTAGTTAAGAAATATTAACACAAAAATAGGAGTTATCACAAAATATAGTTCACTAATTATAATTTAACAAGAATGTATTATAAGAAACCTGGACATACAACGGTAATTACGAATATAACATATAATATGTTTTTCCTAGTGTGATTTATAAGACTTTTAAGCACAGATATTGTATGAAAAATTACTTTAAATAATACTATTTATTAATAACGATACAATATAATACGAAATAAAACTAATATCTGCTCAGTAAATTATCATATTTTAAAAAAACATTGAAATACAATATATGTATACCAAACATTTCAGTTGTAATTAAATCAAAACGTTGGACCAATCAAATAATAAATTCCGCTTTTATTTTTTTTTAATTAGTATGATTTATCTAAAAAATTTTATCATAACCAGAATATTTTCCTTTTTAAAACTAAAACTAAATGAATACGAATATTTATATAATCAATATGTCTTTTCCTGTATAATAATCTGTAAATATTAAAATATATTTATTTATTTATTTATTTATTTATTTATTTTTTTTTGTATAAATTTATAATTATATCGGTTTTATTATACAAAATGTTTTTATCAGTTCATGTGAAAACATTATGATGAAGAAGTTAGAAAATTCATTATTTACATGGTTATCCATGTATTGTATACATATAAAAAGCCATTATTTTTTTTTTTATATATATACATATCACGATTAATATATTTTCCTTTAAATAATATCTTTATGGAAAATCTTCAGGTTTTGCATTCTAAAAAAATCTTAAGGTCAGGCACGGTGGTTGGATCGTTCAAAATCGACTTACACACTGTCTATGAGACACCCGGTACATTGCATATTTTTTCTTAATTTCTTTTTTTTTCGTTTCTTTTTCTTTTTATATTTAAATATATATATATATATATTATATACACTTTTTTCATCCTTGATATATATTTTGAATACTATTAAACACATAATGCAACATAAATTTAAGAATACATTTTCTCTGTATCACTCTTCTTAATCCACACATGTACACACCAATAAATATATTGAATACACACTCGTTATATAAGTAACTATATTATATTATGGAGGAACTAATTCCAACGTAATTTTGCTTGTTTACCGTGTTTTGTCTTATTTTGTTAAAATGCTTCTTGTAAGCATAATATATTTTAAATATAAATTATTATTTGTTTTAATATAATAAAAATGTGTCTAACCTATTTGCGGATTTCATATAATTCAAAATATTAAATAATATTGCTTTCAGAACATATTTTTGTAACTATTGTGTTAAAAAAAAAAAAATTATATAGCAAAAGGTATTGTAATTTATTAGTGAAGTCGTGTTCTTTGTCATGTGGGTTCGTTTCACTGTTTACATTTCCGATTTCCCTGGTGATTTCTGTGATTGATTAATAGACGTGTGCATGATGGTTTGCACTATAATTTAATGCTGTCACACCAAAAACAAGGTCGTCCATATATTAAGCAACACCAGTATTGTTTTCAGACTACAACATTTAAATGGTCTGGGTTGTTTCATTTTCGAATACTCTCCATTCTAAAGAAAAGTCTTAATATAATGCAGAACTTTGTTTATTTTTGACATTAACTATTAAAAAAAAATAAATAAATAAAACATGCGAAATGCTACAATATTACAGTTAAACTTTATCGTAATTGTTTAATCATAATTTTTTTTTCTCTCGTTTCCATTTAAATAATTATATTTCTAATTTAAATTTATGTAATATATTATATCTACATTAAATCATAATGTGTAGCAAATTAGCAAATTAAAAATTAAAAATATTTGTTGAAAAAAAGTAAAGGAATGAATTGAAAATGCACATAAAATGAATCAAATATTTAATTAAATTTGTATTAAATTAAACGATGAACATAAAATTTTTTCGTGATTTATGAAAATTAAAGAAAATAAATCAAAATATAGAACAAAACATCTATAATACAAATAATTTAATTCATTCTTAATTTATTTTTAGTTAAATATCTACATGTGGCATTTATTTTTAAATTATATATGTTAAGAATAATTTGCCTAATATATTACACTAAAATATTTTTTCTTTTAATTTTAAGAATTAACATAAAATATTTTTAAAAACTACTTTATCAGTAATTAAAAATTAATATTATGGACAAAAATATTCATATTATATTTTAATGAAAATTTAAGTATGCATTAAATTTTATAATTTAATTTAAAATTTTGAAGAATTGATATATTTTTATTCTTATCATTAAAATTTAAATAAGTTTAAGAAATTTTTTTATATTTTTAAGTAATCATCATATAATAAACGTGGAAGTTTTATCAAACTTTGATGATAACAATAGAATTTAATTTAAATTAGATCCTTTTTACACTTTTCTAGTTTTTCATTTCATTTTATGTTTTCCAAACAAATCTATTGAACTTTAAGAACTACAAAATATTCAATTATATTTTAGGTTAATAATCTTGTATTTTAGTGCATCTGCATCAACCGGTAGATTTAGTATTAGAGATCAAAAATAATAAATTAACCAGTATTGGTAAAAGTATAAATAACATTAATTAATTTAAACTTTTAAACAAAACTTAGTTTATTTCATAATTTTCTAATTTAAAATTCATGTAACATTGCTTTATGCAATAATTAATATTATGCCTAGTTTGAACGTAATACCAGACAACTATAACATTAAGTAAAGTTTAAAATTAAATTTATTTATTACTTACAAAATTGTTTCTTAAAAAGAAAAAAACCGGAAATTTCAATATTCAATTTATGATGAAAATAACTCATCGCCAGTTATACAGATATAAGGATCTACAAGCCTATTGTTATAATAATATCACTTAACTTTTACTAACACATACCTATGTGTGTTTATTTTATTTCACACGAATTGCTGGACTTTTATTATGTTTTTGTTTTCTGTTTATCCAAATGTTCAAAAAAGGTCTTACAATCAAGACACATATTAAAAGCATCAAAACTGTGGGGCAGCTTTAAATTAGACGTTGGCACCGTCTGGTACCAGCCAGGTACATAGATATGGATATACCTCTATAAATTGTATAGAAAAAAAAATTTATAATGTTATATAAATCATGTACAATATTGTGTAGATAAACCAAGTATTGAGTGTACTGCAGAGATCTATAGGAATGTTTTTGTATTATTTTTGTTGTTGATAACAATGACCACCTGTTCAATGTTAATAAATCCATATATTACTGTAATCATTTAATATATTCCGTAACGGACATCATCGTATTTATCATGTGACATGCTGTATATTTCATTTTTCTTTCCCGCAAACGACATTAACGTCTCGTTTCACTATATTTTTCACCGCATGCATTTCCTTTCACACAATATATTATACTCAGCTGGCTCTATTACTACCTTATTTTCCTTGGATTTTTTTCCACATTATAGCACGTTTTGTTCTCCTAACGATATTTGATTAAAGCGTTTTGCCCCTAGGACTTAAAAACGTGATATGTATCATTTTTTTTTTTTTTTTATTATTCTTAAAGCACCTTAATATTTTTATTTTTTGAATCTAGATGTAAATGACAATGGGCTGAATTATTTTTGCTTTTCCGTTCAATTATTGATATGCATGGTTTTTTACTAGTCACCGTTTTCGATAAAATCAATACCTCAATGGATGAAATCATGATTTTTATAACCAGTACATCTATCTTGGTAATTTTTAAACATACGTTATAAACTCGTACTGTCGTTAAAAAAATATTACTCGTATAGAGTTAGCTTCGTGTTAATTTAATTATTAATGATCTTAATATGTGAGGATTATGATGTGTTATGAGTACCTAATAAAATAGTGAGAAAATTTGAATGAAATGAAAAATTTATTCCCAGATGTTATATAACATGTGCTGTACAGAATAGTACGAGTATGATTTGAAAATTACATTTGTTTTTTAATTCTCTAATGAAATTGTATGAAGTAATAATTACCCTCGACAGTTAAAAACAAACAAAAAAGTAAGTGAATGCAGAGTTTACGGATTTAAATTACTTATAGCACCTAGAGAATGTTAGATTGTCATATTTATAATTAACATAATTTAAATGTTTAATTACACTTTAACGAGGAACGAATACAATAGCAATTAATTTTACAAATTATGAACACATGGGTTATACCTGTTACTTTTTAACTACACCGCGAATGGAATGGGGTAATTTAATTCTTTACATAAATATGTCGGACATAGCAGCACTGTTTTTGTCTGCTGCTTACGAATTGCGTACCGTATAAAAATGTATAAAAATGTATAATACTAATTGCGTCCCGGGTTTTTCTTGAGGATTGCTGAATTGCATCCCGATTACCTGTGATATTATCTAAAACATATAAAGGCGAAATTATTGTTCATAAATTATTTTAGTATTTTCGATTTAATAAAAATGATTACATTAAAGCTTTGATAATTTTCTTACAAGTTACGTCCTGTAGAACAATTCATCTATTGTCGCAGTGCAGTGTTAACAGTCCACTACACTACACGTGTTACTTTTTTTAACCAATCATGACGAGTGTAATGAATACTATGTACAGAGAAAAACGATATGTAATTTATTTTCTATTGACGAGTATACATTTTAATTCCACAAGCACCTACTTAAAAAACAATATTGAACGGTGGTCTTGCTGTAAAAAAATGTGTGAATCTTATATTCATTTAAACTTCGATTACGATTTAGTCAACAAAGTTATTAATGGTAATCATCATGAAGAAAACAAAATATTAAACCGTCGAACCGTGAGTAATAAATTAAAATGAAAAGCTCCCTACGATATTAGTGAGAAACCAAGTAAAGTAATAAATTATTGACAATCGGTATGTAATCAAAAAAAAAAAAAAATGGGAACGCAAGTAGTATGACTCCCAAAAATACCTGAGAAGCAATTCGAAAAGAATTTTTGCCACGGGACGCAGTTCGTATGCAGCTTTTTTGTCATGTTACACTATACAATATAAAATCCACAAATAACTTAGTTCGAATACAGATATCTTGAACATATGGATCAAAATATTAAATTGTTTAAAGATTCAGTACGTTATTCTGTCGTTAAATGCATAGTGTTTGCAACATGAAAAAAATTGATTACACAATAATTGTATAAAAATATTTTAACTATACCACAGTTAGCTAAATTTATATTTGATATTTTTGTTATGTTCCGTATCGAATATTTTACTGCAAAAACACGTGTATCATATTCTTCAAAAAGCCTTTGAAACGCATCATGAAATATTCTGTCAAACATTTTAGAATTGATATTTTTTTCAAAAGTAAACTACAAATGGTACGAGTGAAGAAGAGGTATTTTGAATTTCTAAATAGTTAAAAAATAATTGAAATAATTTTTACAAATAAATTTCAAACAGCTATTAAAAAAAAAAAAAAAAAAAAAAAAAAAAAAAAAAAAAAAAAAAAAAAAGAAAAGAAAAGAAAAGATTTTACCAAGGACTTAACCTAATCTGGGTATTTTTAACTTTCCCAAAACAGTGAAAATGTCCTGAAGTCGAAAACGGTATCGTGCATCATTTTTTACTGTTTTTTTTATTAATCAATTTTTTTGTTTTTATATTAAATGTAATGTTCAGTCGGAAATTAAGTGAAAAACAAATCCTTTATTTTGTTTTTGTTTTGACTTTTTTATCTTCAATTTAAAATCACTATAACACTGCTGTGCGATGACATTTCAGAACATCAATTTTATCACAAATGGGCTCTTCTTACCGATCCCGATGACATAGCCGGCGGACCCAAGGGATATCTAAAATGTGACATCAGTGTAATCGGAAAAGGCGACACAATCAAAATACCTCCTAAAACGGAAAAAGACGAAGACGATATAGAAGCGTGAGTTTGTATAACAAGTTATTATAATATAATTCAATTTTTATCCATTTAAACTACTCATGCACTTACCATCTATGAGCCTACTGTATAAGAAAATAACTAATTAATTATTATTTTCTTAAATATGGTTTGGTATTATGTACAAATGTAATTAGGAAGAATAATGATTTCGATATTCATATACCTTGCAATATAATCAAATTTAGAATTGTTAAATTTATAAATTTATAAAAATTCATTCAAGAATAAATAATAATCAGGGTTCGGGAGTTAAAGCATTTGTTTATTTTTATGTATTGACTTAGAATGTAGCAAAGTGTTATAGAAGTGTATGTCAAGTTATAATACGTACAATTATGAAATTTGAGTGCCTTTTCTTGCTTTTTGCTTTTTCCAACAGTTTTTTAAAAAAAATGATTATTTCCAGATTTTCTGATTATTTTTGCTTATTTGACCAGTTTTTTTTTACGTTTTTAGAGTTTTATCCTGCAAAGTCGTTTTTGAAAGAATTAATATTAAAATTAATTCTTATCTTATCTACGTTGTCACGTAGTTTGTCGCCGTCAAAGGCATCGTTGCAGAGTTAACAAAGATATTCCAACGCTGAAAATAAAACTAAGTGTCAAACGTCAGAATGATCAAGAACTGAGAGAATAGTTAACATTTTATTTTTCAGAAAAATCCATAAAAAATTTAAAGTCCTAAAAGTAAAAATTTATTTTCGTTTTGTTTCACTTTTTAGTTAGAATTTTATAGTTTTTTTGATTAAATATTCTTGCTTAGTTTTAAATTTTTTAAATGATTATTTTAGTGCTTATTGTAATAATTTTAAGTGCTATAAGTCCCGAGCTCTGATAATAATTTTATAAATAATCTCTATGTAAATTAAAAAATTTGAATGTAGGTTTATGGTGTATTTCTATATTTACCTATTAGTTTGAAAAAATTAAAAAATGTTGTTGGTAGGGTCACAGTTATTTATTTTGTCATTATTCAAAGTTTTATTTTTGTGTTTAAAAGTATTTTATTTCAAAAAATAAAGATTTAAAAATGTGGTTTAAACTTTCAACACTACATTTTAGGTTTTTATATGATATTTTCTAAAGTTTTTTAACAATTTCCAACAAAGCTGCATAATGATTTTAAAAATAGTTTTTTGATTTCTATACGTTAAATTATAATATTAGTCATGGTGACAGATAATCATTTATGGGTTCACAAATTTAAAAATGTAATAAGTTATTATTAATAATCCTTATACATTTTACTGACAAAGTCCAAAACAATCCAACAATAATGCCAGTTGAGAGTTTGTTAGGATATTTTGGGAACGATCTCCGATTATTTTAGTTCCCATTTCATATGCCCGGCAGAACATACCATTTCGTCGACCATCGAGCTCCCATCAAACCGCACAACATTTTTCGATCCGTAATTGCGTAAAATTGTGCTATATTAATTTGACGGCGTTTTCACCACATCCGTCCACGTGTAAATGACGTTATTCTGGAACTACGCTATTTGAAAAAATGTTTGACGAATTATTTCTGAAAATATTTTTCATCACATATTTTCTTCGTTATCAAACAAGTCAGATGGTTTGATTCGAACGGGACTGTAGGAAAGAAAGAACGGCGAGTTAGGATCACGTTCGTGACCTCGTTCGATCATGTTATTATTGTTCCCGCGATCGGATTCGATGACATAATATTTGTTCAACCTGAAGATTGTGTCGAGTTTTCCGGGTGAATGAAGCACGGCGCTTTTTCGCAGTGCACGTGTACAATTCATCAATTTCTCTTAATGTGTTAGGAACCTGTTGCTGCCCGATGGCGTGCCCGTCGACCGGCAGAGGGCCAAGTACGTGGTGCGGATATACAGGGCGGACGGTTTGCCGAAAATGAACAGCACGCTGGTGGCTAACGTGAAAAAAGCATTCACCGGCGAGACCCGTGACCTGGTCGACCCGTTCGTGCAAGTATCGTTCGCCGGGCTCACCGTAAGTCAATCTTATCGATTACAATAATACTGAAGTATTCGGTCCGACCGACAATATTAATTCGTTTTCGACGCATTTCGTTTCACTCGTGTTCACTGATTTTACGTTTTCACATACAATTTATTTATGTTTATAAATATAATGGTTTAGTTTTTTTTTTTTTTAATACAATTTATCTTTACAGTTATTATATAACGTGATTTGAAGAACCTTCTCAAAGCATATGCTAATTATTTAATTGTATACATTTACAATAAATGTGTTTATCCTTAATTTTGTTAATATTTATTTTTATATTTTTTTAACACAGGTATTAATGAGTTAACCATTAGAGTTAGAAGTTCAAATGATTAAAATAGTGGGACAGCTATAGCAGACATTTAAATTACACATACATTAATGGTGGTTATAGCGACAATATTTATTTTCCATTAAAATCCTAAGTGTATTTCTGATACATAAATTAAGACTCGAAGATACAATGATTGAACGGAATGCTTATTAAGTTTCAGTTGATTAGTAATCCTTAATTATCGGATTAACAGAAATCTACTGTAATTATTCATCAGATTAATTTCATAAAATGTAAAAATATAATAACAATTTTGTGAAATTGTTGTAAGCTATTATACATACATTGAATCACTTTAGGTCTAAAGATTGTCAATTTTAGTTGTTTAATTTAAATGAATATATATGTTTCGGGTAATATGAAATACCAGACAATATACACATTGCTTGGCCAATTTGAACCTTAAATATAAATGAATAATTAAAAAGTGCAAAGTTTCTTGAAAAGCATGAAAACTCGATTGGTTAATCGTAAATATCAATTACTTTTCATTTATTGTTGTCTGACTGTATCGACATAGTTATATTAATTTTATCAATCTGATATGGGAAAACAATATATATAAGATAGAATAATATAAATAGTGAGTTAGAAATATAGTACTGATATTTTATACTTTGTTCTATGCTATAAAAAAATTATGATATTAGTAAAATATTGTACGGTTATAATAATGAGTATTATTATTAAAAATGTATTAATATTCAAATTGCCTGGGCAAGGCCAGTGTCCGAACAATGTATATCTACATCGCCTATTTTTCTACATCACTCATAATGTATCACATATAATATCATCATGTAACATATCATATCGTAATATGTACACTCGCAATGAGTGAAGAAATTGTGAATGCATCCAAAGAAGCTTTTATTAATCAAACAACAATCACAATAACACTCAAGCATATTTCACATAATTTAAAATTGAAGCACTAAATTAAATGTTTTATATTTATAGAATTTATAATAATATAAATATTTATATTTATAGGATACACGCTTTTCCAGATAAATAGTTTGCTCCGGCAACACATACATTTCTCGACTAGCTGTTAAATTTCCAACTTTTATTTCTGTACTAAATTATTTGCGATCTCATATAGATCGTCTAATTTATTAACTATTTAAGTTAACTGTTTACATTCGATGAAAAAAAATAAAACTCAGGATAACTGAAACTTTTATCGTCCCTACGGATTCTGTTTCGGACGAATTTCACCGTGTTTGACAAACTTTCTAAGGAAAACTTGAATTAATTTTAACCACTTCGGTACCAATTGTCTTGTTTTTCCGAGCTCCGATTTTTTTCCGATACCTGAAACGAATTGAACTCAAACGTAGCCGTCGTCACACCTGTATTATATTGAAACAGAGTTGCACGTACTTCTAATACACGTCTCAAAATTCCGACACGTAAGATATTGTGACATGAACGGGCGACATTAATACTTAATCCGGTTTGGGGTCGTATGTCTCGGACAAGCCTCCGGAATTTTTGGAATGTAGAACTTTAAACGCAATAAGTATATGTGAGTAAAATCTAATAGTGACGAAACACAATTTCCCAAATGTTTTTACTCGTTTCGCTAACCTAACGTCGTGGACATGATGTGTTTCCTTGACACTAATCGTACAAACTTAACACTATTTTCATGATAGAACCCAGTTACTACTAAGATAAATCTTGTCTTATATTTTATTCTGTCTATGGACAAACTGGTGTTGGAAAAATATTTAAATATAATATTCTTATTTCGCACAAATTATAATTATATTATATTTTATTTTATTTTAATTGTAAAGCATTTCACAGTTATTGGTTATTATTAACGTCTTCTTTACATTTTCAATCATTTTATTGATGTACATTACATAATTATTTTAACTCCTTATGTCAATTATTTCCCTTGTCTATTATTTATGATTTGCTTAATTTACTCAATCCTTAGTCTTTCTCTTCATATATAACCTTCAACATCACCTTATATGACGCTTTACGATAGTCTATCATTGCGTAGTATATGTCCTACCATGTTGTCTCTTCAAACTTTTTTGATATACCAAAGTATTCTCTTTTCCCTTATTCCATGTACTACTGTTAATTTTGTATTCTTTCCATCCGTTTAATCTTTATAATTTTACAATAACACCATATTTCGAAGGCCTCTATTTTTTTTTTCTACTATACTGATAATAAATATAAGTTGACTAAAAAAAAAAAAAAAACAATTATCGGATTAAATTCTGTAAACATATAACACCCTATTCGCAAAAAATTATTCAACAGCACGAATTTTTTCTCACTTGTCACTATTTATGTCACTGCCCGTCAGAGTTTTTAAACTAATGATGGTAATACTTTTAAATATATACATATAAAAGATACTTTAACATCACAAATGTGTGTATTTATCGTAGTATACTAATCCATCATACTTTAAATATTATATTTTTAATAAAAAATATGTTCAAAATAATTTTATTGTAATTTTTCTTCCTTATAAGTTTTGTCTCATTTTTTCTTTAAATAAATATAAAATACAATTTTTGGATGAACGATAAAATAAAAATATTTACAATCTAAATAAAATTTCATAGGCCAATATTTATAGACATATTTGAATTATTGTATTTTGCTTCACCAACAAAATATACATAAAATCAAACCTAAAGGCTTATAGTTTTATCAATTTTATGCCGGTATTCTGTCGGATGTAACAAGAAGCAATGGACAAAGGCAAATATTCAGTTTGTATATCTTATTAGATTAAGTACTTTTTAATTTTAGCAAAAGTCTATCAAATTTAAAATTTTAGTAAATTAACATTGCTTATGTAGATAATGTATCAAACATTTTAAAGTCTTATAAATCAATATAATAATAATAATAAAAAAAAACCTCTAAATTATGGGAGTTACATTGTTTGTTTAAGATGATATTTAAAGTTAATTCATCAAAGTTTAATTTTAAATAAACTAATTCAAATATTTCTACATATATTTTCTAAATATAGAAACCTAATTGAATTTATAGATTTAATCTTTATAACACGAGTATAATAAAATGGACAATACATTTTAACATAAATTAAATATAATTCTAAATAAAAATAATTGTTTATATGAACTTGAAGTTATTTTTTTAATATTAAATTGAATCTTATTCAGATGCATTTTATATGAGTTTATCAAGCATAGTATATATTTTGAGCAAAAACTTCTTGGCGTAGAATGTTTTCCATTGGAAATATGTTTGTGATTCGTTAATTTTACTTCGTGCAAATATAATAAATTAAAATTGTAATTGTTAATTAACTGTAATAGTTAATAACTAAAGGTTCTAAAAAAAAAAAAAAATTGTAATTATCTTATGATAATTTACAGTCTTATTTTGCCATTTTGAGTCACATTTATTTTCATATAGGAAAATCGATATTTTGTGGATTCATTATAAATTAGACATATCATGCTCCATCAACTTCAAATGTGTGCAACTGATATTTATGAACACTCTGTCATTGAAACATATTTATCGATTCAAATAAATGTATTACCTACATTATCAAATGATTTGATAAAATTTTGTTTATTAACATACATTACTATTAAACAACAACCTTGAATTCAATACCGAAATAATAAATACAAAAATGTAATATAAATAAATATATAATAACAATAATTTATTGTATTGATAAAAATAACGTAAAATCAATAGCAAACCTTAAACTGTAAAAAAAAATAAAAAATAAGTACTTTAAAGTTTACATTGTGTGTACGTAAGTCTTATGATATAAATATTATTACCTTAAGATGCATGAAATAACCGTTTTATAGCATATCTTAGATGCCATTATTTAACTTATCTAGAGGGTTGTAACACAATTGCGCTATTTTTCCCTTTTTACCTATTAAAATCACAACACCATTGCGCACCAAATAATATGTATATGTACTATGTAGGTATAATAATTTATGTACAATTTAAAATAATGTATACAATACATACTTTCTATATATAATTTGCACATATATGCACTCAAACTTATTATCTATTAATTCACAATTTTCCTTCCTAATTATTACAGGCTTAGGACTGTCAACAAATTATCATCGTTGGCTTGGTTTAAAATTGTTTTTTTTCTAAATTTCATATATGCTAAATGTGTATACTGACAAGGTCAATAGTCAATATTTATATTATAACTATCATTAGATCAATCAACTTTTCATTTCGATTTTGAAAAAGTGCATTTTATGAATTAATAGTTTGAGTGCATGTATATGAACATTATAGAAAGTATGTATTGTATACATTATTTTATGTTATACCTACATAAATAATTATATATAGTATATATACATATAATTTGGAGCGCAATGGTGTTGTGATTTTATCAGGTAAAAAGAGATCGGGGCACAATCGTGTTTTAATTTTTTTTTTTTGTGCTATCATGGTGTAATTAGTCGTGTCAAAAAAGAAAAAATTGCGCAATCATGTTGCACCGATCTGGAGATTAAAAAAAACGTATGGTGCTTCGAGAAAATAAATAAAATCCTACGAATTCATATGGTACGTGTTATAACTAAGTGTTTTGCTGTTTGAGCCAATCAGCAAATATTCAAAACAAATTTTATTCGTATAACTTATCATATTGAGTAGGTAGTTTTTTTTGAAACGTCTAGTAAAAAAAAAAAAAACTATTGTAAAAATACGCGTAATAATAATATTATTACAAATTATTAGTGTTGCAAAACTTGTCGTTTCGTAGAAAAACCGTAGTATGATCTGGAATAGGGTTTTTAGAAGCGTACCGCGATCGACCCGATTTCAAATGCTTGAAATAAACACATTCGTCCAATGTCATATATTAGAACCATTTATATAAATATTTTTATTTATTGAGAACATGATAAAAACTGTTGTTTTAAGGGCAAAACGAGCGTACGGAAACACAGCTATTCACCTGTGTGGAACGAGCAGATTGTTTTCTCTGAAATGTTCCCGCCTCTATGCCAGCGGATTAAAATTCAACTGAAGGATAACGATCCGGTGAACACGATCATCGGTACGCATTTCATCGACCTCAAATCCATATCAAACGACGGTGAAAGAGGTAACTATAATAAATGCTGTTGAGTCTCACACGACGAGCAACGAATATTCGCAGCACACGTGCTTATACGGACTGCAGATGAACACGTGCCATTATTAAATTCACTTGAAATATTGTACGTGTTACAATATTATTCCTCCATTAAAATGTAATTATAATTTTTATATCACGGTATCGAATGAACGGCTAAATTTAAGGGCCCGAAAGTAATTTTTCCTTGGAGTTTTTTCAACCTTTTTTTTCATATCAAATAGCTGTAGAAAATATAATATGTGAATTCGATATACAACTTTCGACTACTAAATAAAATGTGTCCTATAATACTTTCACTTATTACAGAAATTGCCAGTGTCTTGTTTTAATTACAAAAGTAAAATTGTCATTATAAACTATTGTATTTACAAATTGAAAAATTAAAAATACACAATAAGTTTTAACAATTCTGCTCGTGAATATAGGACGTATATAGTTCGCTATTGTTATGTGCATTATACAGTTAATGATGTGATAAAACCGATGATTGAATAGTTGAACATTTTGATTTTTTACTAAAGGAGTAAAGCATAAAAATAAATTTAAGATAATTCGAAACGAATATGATTGAAAATGAAAAGGAAAAACTTAAACTTGTTTTTTATCGATTGTTCAAACACAAAAAATATTTTACCCGAGTAACGTGAATATTTTAAATACTAATTGGCACATAAAATACACTTTTAAACACCCTATATCGTTATAACTATATTAAAATACTCGGTGCGATGAATAAAACATAATTGTTGTTAAAGGGTTTCCACCGACTTTTGGCCCAACGTTCATACACATGTATGGATCAACGAGGGATTACAGTATTTTAGACAAGCACGCCACACTCAACACTGGACTCGGTGAAGGGGTCTCGTACAGAGCTAGATTGTTGGTAGCGATTCGAACTGAAATCACCGAAAATACTGAATTTATGAACTCCGGTGTAGATGTTGAACCAACCTATCCGATCACAGAGGTAGAATATAGTCTTTACAAATAATAATAATATTTTGTTTGTAGATTGTATTAATTTGTACATGAATATATTTTTAAAATATGATTTTCAGACATCGTACTGTAGAAACGAAGAATTTTTTTTATTCATGACCATTTTAGACGCATCGATGATAGACAAAAAACTAGGAGAGAAACCGATATATTTCGAACTGAGTATAGGGAACGCCGGAAATATGATTGATGGTCATAACGAGTCTAGTTCTCAAGAAGATCACGATAAAATCAATGTGCTTGGTACTTGATTTATTGTTGCTCGGCTTTATGAATTATTTATATATTTATTCGTATTGTATTACAACAGAAAGTGTAATTTCGGAATCCTGGCAAAGCACGACGGCAGCCATAAAGCCAATATCCAATGATAAAGTGTATTATTACTTGCCGTTACGAGAGGACAAGCCCTGTTTACATGTTAAATCTATATGGCCGGATTACAGGAGGAGAATGTATAATTCGAATATTATTAACAAAATATCAGATAAACTAGTATGGAAATCTTGCATTTTATATATCCGATTTTAAAATTCTTATAATATCATGTTACGTTATATGCATATTTAGGAAGAAGGCTTAAACGAGGTATCATTCTTGGTTGACGATGATGATCCGGGTAAAGAAGAAAAGCTAAAATTCGTCCTAGATGAACTATCATCTAGTTGCAACCGATATGTAAATTTCACTAAGGGTGTAGGCTGTGGTCAAGGCTTAGGAAAAACAAAGTTAGACAAAGAGAGGATGAAACTATGTCTCCGGGAGATGGTAATTATTATAATCATTGAAATTGGTTATGAATAATGATTATGAATGGGATTTTGTATATATTAAAATACAGGAACAAATCGGAAAAATGTCAAGAACGTTGAAAGCTATAGTTACCAAAAATTCATTTAAAGAACGGTACCGAACCGCTACAAGCTATTTACAAAAGATCAAAGCACTCATCGAAGATGTAAGTATCATTACTTATTTGAAGTTTTTTTTTTTAATCTAACTGAGTGCGTTTGGTTTTTTAGCCGCAACATTCTTTGCCTGACATTTTTCTGTGGATGGTGAGCAACGGTAAGAGAGTAGCTTATCAAAGAATCATGGCTAGGCACTTGATCTATTCTGTAGCCGACGAAGAATGTGGAAAGTTTTGTTCAAAAGTTCACACCATGTTCTTGAAGGTATGTTTTTTATATTTTCCACTGGAAGCAACCACAAAATTAGAGATTATTAGTGAGATAGAGAGATTGGATATAGAATGCAGACAATAGAATACGAATTGTATAACGCGCATTACTTTTACGCATGTTGCAATGTATAGTTGTTGTTGTACGATCCGTTACGATTTCAGTTGCCGGGCAAGAAAAACTACGGTTCGTCGGGTTGGTCGGTGCCTGCTAAACTGCAAGTGTACACGTGGCTGGGAGAGATGAAGCACAAAAAGTACCTGGCCAACGGACTGCCGAAGGGTTACAATATCACACCCGAACTCTTCAATGCGGAAAACCCAAGATTGCCACCACCGGCCTACATTCATTATTGCGAAAAATACGTTAGTCAAGCGATCACGACGCGATAACAATTATAATTTACATAATATGTATATATTATATAATTATATACGTATAATAATATACAACTATTTTTTCAGACGTTCCAGCTGAGGGCGTACATGTACCAGGCCCGATCATTGATTGGTTCCGATGCGTCCGGTTTGTCCGACCCGTATGCGCAAATCATATTTTGCGAAAATTCGACCAAAACACAAGTGACTGCCGATATCATTATTGCTATTGTAATTTGTATCAAATTTTGCGTTATGGTTTTTTCCACGATTTGTCACAGGTGATAGACGAAACATTGAGTCCGACATGGGACGAACTGCTAATCATCGACGAGGTGATACTGTACGGGACGAAGGACGACATCAAAACGCATCCGCCCACCGTTGTCGTGGAGATATTCGATCAAGACAAAGTGGTAATCATTCAGTTTTGTATGGAAAATTTATACTGACAGTTTTCGTGTGTTGCGTAGGGTAAATCCGAATTTATTGGTAGAACTGTAGCCAAACCACACATAAAACTTTTGGAAGACGAATACGTCCGACCCGAATTTCCGCCGTCGTTGGAATGGTATGACGTGAACAGAGGAATGGAACACGCTGGAGAACTTTTAGCTACGTTTGAACTGTTACAAGTTAGATTTATTTTTTTTCAATTTTAATTTCTTTAATTTTCATTTCGTTACATCATTAATACCAATGACATTCTAGCTTCCCAACGCCCTAATTGGCGAAAGTGCATTGTTACCGCCTCTACCGAATCCTAAAGACGTTTATTCGATAACAGACGGTGGTCAACAATGTGAACTAATTTTACCAATTCCAAAAGATATCAGACCCACTTTAGCAAAATACAGGTAAAATAAAAATATATTAAAAAAATAGTAATAATTACCACAACTGTTCTACATAAAACGACATTGCTAGAAACATAAGAAACTGATTTAATTTTTAAAAACCGTAGATTCGTCGATTGCGTATATTACTTACGATCTGAAACGTGTACAGTGCCATTATTTATATATTATTTAAACGTTTAATAATTTAACAATTATTATTCAATGTGAATTTACACAAATTGTTTTAGGATTGAAGTATTATTCTGGGGCCTCCGAGATCTGAAACGCGTTCACTTAATGACCGTAGACAAGCCGCGGGTCGATATTGAATGTGCTGGCCATATACTATACTCGTCCATCATACAAAATGCCCGTAAAAATCCAAACTTCAGTACTCCTGTCAAATTTTTAGAGTTAGTAAGTAGAGCTTATTTAAAACCTATTATCAAAATGACAGGATGATTACTTATATTGCGTTAGTATACTTAATCGCAAACTCATTTCAGCTAGAATCAGTACTCTTTTCGCAGTTTAAACCGTGGTAATGGAAAATTTATATTTTACAGGAACTTCCGGAACAAGAACTTTATCGGCCACCTCTCACGATACGCGCCGTCGACTGTCGAAGTTTTGGTAGATTTACGTTAGTGGGCACACATCTAATAAATTCAATTCATAGATACATGTACGTTCCAATCACAAAAAAGAGAGAAGCACTCGAACGGAATAAATCACCATTACAACAATCACAACGTAAGAATTTTTAAATTATTTATAATATTATTAATTCGTGTATGAATATTAATCAACCACTCGTGACTTTTTATAGTATAACGACATTAATACTAATAATTTACAGCGTATTCAAACGTTTTCTAGTAAATTATTGGTGGTTAGTTTTAAACCACTCCAATTCATCAGTAAACTTATTTTATTACGAACATTTGTACTGTTAGAATTTGAATGATAAAAATTTTAAATGTCTTAAATATTCCAATTTCAAAATATTTTTACTAGTTTAAAGTAATAAACACTTATATGATAGTTTAGCGTTTCACTACATTAAAAATAAACTGTTATGTATTGTTAACTAATGATGTTATTTAGGTAATCAGTGTAATTTAATTATTTTTGTAACATTTCTATACGAGTACAATGTCTTAACACATTATTATATTCTTTGTAACTATAAGTTAAGTATTTTCGTATTAAAAATTACTTTAAATTATTTCATTCTGAAATCAGACAGAAACCATAGCATATCTTACACAGATTAACTTAAAAAGAAAACTAACTTTCTCGTTTTTGTAATTTTTACAAATTTTCTATTAACTCAAAAAAAAAAAAAAAGAATTTAACTTTCAAACACATCAATATGAAATCTAAATTTATCAAAAACTCGTTACAACTAATATTCCCTTCATATAATTTCTAAAACTGATTACCTGCAATAACTACAAAAATTTAATAACTGATAACAGTGCAGCATTGTTTGCTCTCTTTCGTACTTATAATTTAAATTAATTCATTATTCTAAAATATAATGTTAGAATATTTTTGATAGACTATTCCTGTATCTATACTGTGATTGTTTTTGTGTTCATGCCGATCCCTGGTACTGCTAATTCTTAAATAATATAAATTCACTTATTCCTATGTTTTGAGATGTACATGTCTTATCAGTCCTACGTTCAACTTCTAAATAGCTGATCGATATTGTCTTCCTCACAGGTGACTTATACGCCTTTCTTGAAGTTGCTTAATCTACTTATAAAATAAAATATTAAATTCGTGTTGTTTGGGTCACCGATTTTTACTTACTAGGCGTTTCCATATTAGTGTTACATACTCATAATATTTTATTAACTTAATCTTTACGAAGGGTGGCCCATCGATAATGTGGCAACTGAGCTAATTAAATAAACTAAAGCGATTCTCATTGTATTTATTCTTAAAAATATAACAGCTGCGTCCATATTAAACTTAGAAATGTCTGCAATTATTTTTGGATGAAGTACATACGAGGGCCGGTTCTCTTGCTGGTATTAATTCAGATGAGATTGCCAAATTCTAAAGTCCGTGGTTTCTGTACTCGTTTCAATTTCTTCAAATAGTCTTAAATTACAAGATAAGCTAAATCACTTCACGTTTGCTACACCGAGTTTTTTTTCCTATCAAAGCGCTTACTACGAATAATATTTAGTTGCTAATACTACGTTACCTCGCCAGTTATGTCCGTAAAAAGTCTTAGCCCACTAGTGATCCCAAATCTTGCTGGCTCATATACTTCCTACAAGTTGGTTGTTGGTACAAACTGTAGTGGCTCGTCTGGGTTTTCTGCTATACCCGTTGTTAAATTTGCTGATATCTTTGTCTCCAGATTCTGTCCTGAGGTCACAGTTAATCAAGTTAAGCTTGAATTCTTTAAGAATATAGATGTAAAAATCACCCAAATAATTACTAAGCATCCTTCCTATGCTTCTTTTCACGTGTGCAAATTATAATGATGCGTCATTTGCCCTTCGTGATGCTGTATATCAATGGATCATAAATTATGTCCCCGAGGTTACGTTCAAGAAATCTAATTTCTCTATATAGTTTTCAAAAAGGTTAAAAGATATTGTCATCCACAAAAGAAATGCTCACGTATTTTAAAAAAATTATATTAGCTCACAAGATTATTACTCTTTTTCGCATCCTTGGGCACAACTTAAGTATAAATCAAAGCTATGTTTTAAAAGATTCATCCAAGATACTGAATCCTCAATTTCGTTAAATCCTAAACTTTAGAAATTTGTTCGTTTAAAAAAATAAAACAGTTTCCATGCATCTATTTGCTTTGATGGCATTTCTAGAAGTAATAGGTGTGATATGTGTAAGTTTTTCTCTAAATACATTAGTTCTGTTTTCTCTACATATACTCCAATTTGGATACTAATAAAACTGAAAAATCTTCTTTTGATTTACCTTCTACCTGCCTGATTAATATTTATGATGTTGATGCTGTTCTTCGCAAATTTAAACAAGTTAAATCAGTCAGTTGGCCCGGATGGTTTTTCTGATATATTAATTCTAATTTCTTGATAATATTAATTCTTCTCTATTCTGCCCTTTGTTTCTTGTATTTAATATATCACTGCAAGAAGGAGTCCCTCATTGGAAAGTCTCATCAGTTACTCTATTTTTTAAATTTGGTAACGTGACAGATGTAAGTAATTATAGACATATTTACTATAATTAGTCATTTAGTGAAGCTTTTTGAATTATTAGTGTTGAGGCATGATAATAGCAGCGACGACGGTCGCCGCCGTCACCGCTAATCATGTAAGTCAATGACCTAATTAAAATTAATACATATGTCTACTATCACCGATTGACCAACACATACACGCACTTTAATATTAAGTTTATTTTAATAAATGTTTGTGAATTTTTATTGTGTGATATGTAACTGAAAAGGCCGATAATGTGTGTGTGTATTATTGTAATATTATATGTGATTTCTCTCACGCGCGAACCACCGTCGAATGCGGTGTAGAGCAGCGGTCTTCACTAGAATTTTAGAAAGGGCCAAATGTAATTTTTGAAAATTACTTGCGGGCCGCATACATTTACAATAATATTAACAACCGTAACATTGATTTTTTTTTCAGAAAAAAATCCATTTTTTAATTCAACTAGTTTGTCTTCCCTTATTTTAGATAGGTGGAGATAATTTTTAGAAAATTCAATTTACTGAGTTATGTAATGACGATTAATATTATTAAGTTTTGGAATATTTATGGTTTTACGACAAATTAAATATAAAGCATCATGTTTCTTACCAGAAATATAGAAAAATTCAATCTCCCAACTGTCTTGAAATATTCTGTGTTCATCTTTGATTTTACGTTTCGCCATGATAAATAATTAAAATGTACGTGATAAAATACAAACGGACAATAAGCGATAATAGATAAACTTATCATACAAGACTACGCGGTGGAAATGAATAAACCCATAATCGTAGGTACCTGCTTATCTGGCCAACTGGTAATTCAATATAAGTTTTAAATAAAAAGATAAAATAAATAAAAACAATAAGATAAAAAGCAACGTTCATTTTATTCCCTGTTATAGAATTTTGGATTTTCGATTAAAATTTAATTTTAGTGAGGGCCGCATTAAATTTGTTAAAGGGCCGCATGCGGCCCGCGGGCCGTGTAGTGGGGACCGCTGGTGTAGAGTGTGTCATTATTATTATTTTATGTGTGCAAATCGCCGTATTTTATTATATTATTATTGAAATTGTTATATGCACTATTTTATATTATTTATTATTTAAACTACATTATTGTGAGCGCTAATCATCACTGTTTTTTATATTACTATTGTGTGTGTGCTGTAATCACTACTATTTTTAATTATTATTATTGTGAGTGTGTAAAATTATTATAATTTAGGTATAGGTGTGCAGCTGGCCAGTCTGCGCTCCATCAATTCTTTAAGTTTTATATATTTTTTATTTTAATACTTATTATTGTGCCAAAAAGGCCACATATTTATATTTTATTTGTTGGGCCAGAAGGGCCGATTCTTAAAATTATTTATATGTTATTACTTAATTATTTTATATATTATTTATTTTTGAGCCTAAAGAGCCGATTCTTATAATATTCATATTTTAATACAGCAAAATATAGTTACCTACCATTTATACCATCTTTATCTTAGTTACCTCTTTTCCATAATTTTAAGTACACACAAAACACATACATATATACACACATTATACATTTAAACACCACATAGCTCACTGATATTTGCGCAGCGAACCCAAACACTGCTAGCTGAATTATATACCGCACTACACACCTTACAAACACAATGTGTCAGTGGCGTGTAATACAAGTAAAAATCGGTGACCGGGAATGCGCACATTATTTGTAGCACCCGGCCTAAACAATTAATTCTGAATTCCTTTCAGAAATCAATAAAAGGTGTTCTTATTGACGAGCAACATGTGTTTCGTCTTAGTCGTTCTATAATATCGTGCTATGTTTTTTTCACTATGTTCTGAAATTTTTTGGTAATCACTCACAAGTTGACATGCTTTACACTAAAGCATTTTATCGTGTGGACTATGTTGCTCTAATGAAAATATTGCTATTATTAGTGTTCGAGGAACCACTTGTTTTCTGGTTATTATTTTACCTCTGGTATTTCTCAAAGTAGTAATTTATTTTCTTTTTCGTTTTCTCTGTTTATTAACGGTATTTAAAAAAATTTTAATGCATTGTCATTTTTTAATTTTTGCTGATGACATTAAATTTCTTCTGCGTATTCATTCTATTCAGTATTGTATGCATTTCCAAGATGATATAATGTGTTGCCTAATTGGGGTGAAAGCCTCGGTTTAGACCTTAATATTAATAAATATTATATCATCTCATTCACTCGATCTCGTTATCCTTTTTCTTTTAAATATTTAATCCAAACGTTAAATATAGTGTGTTGGATCTTGATATAATATTTTAACATATATTAAACTTTCACATATAAATTTAGCTTTTTTAAATAACCTTATAAGTGGTCATTTTGATGCTCCTGCGTTACTTTCGCATGTCAACTTTAGAGTTCCAATGTATAACTCTCGTTTAGTTTTTCCATTCTAACTTCCTAACTATTCGGCGAACTATTTAAAAAACTGTCCCTTATTACGTATGATGAATTTGGATAACGAGAACCCATCTTCCCTCATTAAGCTGTGTATTATACTTTTTGTCTTGTTTATACTAGCATATCCTCTACTTATTATAACTCTTAATGTAGATTATTATTTATAGCTTCCCTTTGTCGTTATATTTTTTCAATTCTTGTATTCTTTGTATTTATTTCTAATTTTTTCTTTCTCTTGTTATCTTTTCTTATATATTATTAGATGAACACAAATCATTTCATTTTGATTAATTTAATTTAATAAAATAAAATTATATTGGGCTAGTCCCGTTTTTTACCAATAAATAAATATCTATAATATCCATAATATTCTAATTATAAAATATTTGAATTAATGACAATTTATTTGTTTTCAATATTCACCAACTAAATATTCGACGTAATTCATCACATCAGATAGAGTATCTATTTTAATAATGCTATGCAGTGAGTTGATTAACCGAATAAATAACATCCGACGTTTTCCCTCTTATCTATAGCTCGTCGAATGTATCTCGCTGAAAAGCAATATATATGCACCGTTCCACTAATTTCCTTTTAAAACCAACTTATTACATTTTACCTTTTGTCGGTTCCCAGAAGAAAATTGAAAAATTAAACTTTAGTAGATTATTGATCGTTTCTTTTCATCAAATCTACTAAAACATTTCTTAATTGGTTTTTGAAATAGCTTTATTATTTGGTTTCGTGTTTTTTTAAATTATATTAAATCCATAAATAAAATAAAAAAAAAAAAACTTTTGATCGTGTTCGGTTTTAGTGTGTTTTCTTCTCTTTGTCTCCATTAAATATTCCCAACTACTTGTTCAATTAATTTTACTGAACTTTTGTAGTTTGGTAGATAAAGTTTGGTCCATAAAGATGAAACAACAGATTTATAAAATTAACTATTGCCAGTGAACGATGGAAGTTTAACCATTGTTAACTTTTTCAGAATAAAAAAGTTTCTTCTTCTCCTTCGACTTTCTCCCAACTATTTGGCGTCGGCCACCTTTGTCCTACTGATTTTCAATCAAACATGTATTTAACTCTAACTATGTTTTAACATATTTACCTATATTATATTTTATATTATAAAACATAGTAGTTTTATTATGTCTAAAATGTCTATAGATTGTAAATAATATTTATATTATACTTTACGAGTACAATAATTTTAGAAGTTGACTTAAAAAAAAACCAAACAAACATCAGTCGATTTACCAAAAGCGATCAAAATTCCAGTACCAACAATAACACTCAGTTGATTGGAAAAAATCATTTATTTGATATAAAAGATAATGACATCATAACCATTAGCTATGTGAGTAGTAGCAATCATTGTGAAACAAAATTGAACTATTTGCTGTTTTTACTTTTTTTTTATTTTTTTTTTTTGTTATAAGGGTTCTAGCCATCTGACCCAAAAAGATATAAAAACACAATTCAACAAAAATCGTAAACAAAGTGCCGAGGAAGTGATAGAATTAAAAAATGACGACAGTCGAGATTGGTGGACGAAATATTTCGCATCTGTTGAAAGCGCCATCGTTGAAGTTCGTATTGCTTGAATATCATGTGCAGTTACGATGCATTTTATTTACTCTATTGTTCTATGGATGTTTTAGGAAAATCGAAAAACAGCTTACGGAGATACTAACGGGTTATTGCCAATCCAAATAGAACCTACCCAGAACGATGTTAAACAAACCAAAAAAAGTACAAAGACATCACGTTTCGTGGCGAAATTGAGTCCAAAAAAATTTCAGAGAAAACGGGAAATCACTAAAATCGCTACTATGAAGGTGAAAAATAAATAATGTTTCCGTATAATAAATTTAACTGAATTTATTCAATAATAAAAAATTACTTAGTGTTTAAATGTATATATTAAATTAATATAATTTAATATAATATGTAATAAATTAGATATATTCTAATGAACTTGAAGCGCAATCAGAATTTAACGGCTTTCGGGAATGGTTATTACCATTTGACTTGTATCGAGGTAAAAAAACCGGTGACGATGTAGAAGATGATGCGAGGATCGTGGGGACGTTTAAGGTAACTTTTAACACGCATCTCGCAATCAGGTCGCAGTAGACATACGTATAAGTTACAACTAATTTTAGGGTTCAATTAAAGTATACAAATGGCCCCTACCGAAGGACATCGAAGACCACACGATAATGGGGTTTGATCCTCAGTACGGATTCTTTCAAGGTTTACCTTCGAACGATCCAATCCATGTACTAGTAAGAGTCTACATAGTGAAAGCTAACGATCTCCATCCTATGGACATCAATGGCAAAGCTGATCCATATGTAGTGTTGCAATTAGGCTCAAAAAAAATTAGTGACAAGGATAATTACATATCTAAACAACTCAATCCGGTTTTTGGAAAGTACGGTCTATTCTGTAAAACTTACCAAAAGGTTTTAACGCATGAATAAATAAACATATTTAATATTGCGTATTTGTTAGGTGTTTTGAAATAGAAGCGACATTTCCTCAAGACTCTATGTTAACAGTACAAATATTAGATTGGGATCTGTTGGGATCTGACGATTTAATAGGAGAGACCCGAATAGACTTAGAAAATAGATTCTATAGTAGACACAGAGCGACCTGTGGTATTCCTAAAACTTATGAATTGTAAGTATGATGTCGGATATTTTAAATTTGGTGTACAAATAATTTTTAATCATTAAATTATACGTTTGTTTGAATATTATCACGCTACATTATCCAGATCGGGGTACAATCGATGGAGGGATTCGATGAAGCCTACACAGATATTAGCTAAACTATGTAAAGAAGCCAAATTAGATCCGCCAGTGTATTTAAACGGAACCGTGAAAATCGGCACGAAAACGTTCTGTCTTCAAAACAATACTGAGGATACCATTGAATGGTATAGCTCCAAAGGCAAGTGGGATGTGGGAAAATATGTACATAAACCCACGATTGTAGACTCATCCTAATGTCAATACTTTTACAGGCACGGAAGAACACATGGCGTTAGCCGTCTTGCACAATTGGCATGAAATACCCCGGAGAGGTTGTCATCTAGTGCCCGAACACATCGAGACCCGACCACTGTTCATAGCAGACAAAGCTGGAATCGAAAGAGTATTGATTGAAACGTTTGAAATAATATCCGTGGGCATCTTGATTTGACTTGTGTACGTTTTGTACTAGGGAAAACTGGAAATGTGGGTTGATATGTTTCCGATGGATATGCCTCTTCCGGGGCCGGCGTTGGACATATCACCGAGAAAACCGAAATCGTACCAGCTTCGGGTGATAATTTGGAACACGGACGACGTAGTGCTGGAAGATGACGCTTTTTTCACGGGGGAGAAAATGAGTGACATCTACGTTAAAGGGTATGTCTGTATGCTGATTTCGTAGCGAAATATTTCGAATAAAATGCGTGCAACAGTCAACGGTAATAATTTATTATATTGTTCGCGTGCGTTGTCTTAAGGTGGTTGAAAGGTCCGGAGGACTGTCAGAGCACAGACATACATTATAGATCGTTGACGGGAGAGGGTAACTTCAATTGGAGATTTGTTTTTCCGTTCGACTATCTGGTAGCGGAAGAAAAAATTGTTATATCTAAAAAAGAATCGCTCTTCTCGTGGGACGAAACAGAGAGCAAAATACCAGCCAGGCTCGAGCTCCAAGTGTGGGACGCCGATCATTTTTCGGCTGACGATTTTTTAGGTAGGTAATTGCATGTTTCGTGTTCGAATACTATGCAAATATCTTTCTATATCCAATCAAATCGAATCAAATGTCGTTTGTACAGGAGCTTTGACGTTGGACCTGAATAATTTCCCACGTGGTGCCAAATCCTCGAAATTATGCACATTGGAAATGCTCAAGTCAGATGGGTCAGTTCCAATGGTTAACATATTCAAACAAAAACGTGTTAAGGGCTGGTGGCCATTTTACGTCAAAAAAGAAAACGAGGAGATGGAATTGACGGTTTGTACCAGATATGCAGAAAAATCAATAGAACATAATATGACGTTTAGTATTGGTATCATACGTTTCGGATTATTAAATATACATTATTTTTCGCAGGGAAAAGTTGAAGCCGAGTTGCATTTACTTACCACCGAGGAAGCAGAAAAAATCCCTGCGGGTATCGGTCGCAACGAACCGGACCCATTAGATAAACCTAAGTATAAATTAATTTTCAATATTCCAAACCTCATTCCTAATATTGCGTGATATTATTTTGTTCGCAGCCGACCTGACGCTTCATTCATGTGGTTCCTAAATCCGTTTAAATCTATACGGTACATCATTTGGCACAACTATAAATGGAAGATTTTGAAGGGTATCATTGTATTGGCAATATTGGTTATGTTGATACTGTTCTTCTACTCTATTCCTGGTTACATGGTTAAAAAAATGTTGGGAGCTTAATATTTTGTTTTACCAAAAGTATCATGATATAAAATCCTCAACTCACTGTTTTAGTGTAGTAAGGTAAACATCATGTGTACTTTTAATCGTTATTTTTATTTTACATATCAATATCGTTATTAATCTATAACATATTCTAAAAGGTAAATTTTTACATTTATGTCCATCTTGTACCAAACTAGTATTCAATACATCAGTGGTTCAAAGTAGTTCCATATAACTTTTATATTATTATCCGAATCTCTACAAAAGTGTGTTCAGCAAAACGGTTTCCTGAAACTAAACCAATTTATTATATAATTGTCATTAAATAATTTAATATATACTAATATGTACTAGAGTAATTTCGATTTCCCGTTTATTTTTGATATGACACACAATGATGGAATTTGAGCTAAAATGTAATTTTTATCAAAATATAAATAAAAAGCTTTAGTAGTTTGATCATATTTCTATAAAAGTAATAAATTAAACCAATATCACTAATATGGATTAGAAAAATTGTACATTACATGTTAATTAAATTACATACAATGTTAATATATTAAGACAGCAGCAATAATATATATATATATATCATGATTCATTATTTAAGTTGAATGATTCTCTTAGCAGATATATTTGTTGTTTATGAACTTACAATACATTATTTTGAAAAAAATAGCTTAACCATTGTTATTAGTTTATTTTATTTGATTATTTTTAAATATTTTTAGATTTTAAGAAACTTTAAAAATAATAGTCATAAGTCTCATTATTGTTAAAACCAAATATTCATAATAACAAAAACTGATTAGGTATACACATAAATTAAAAAAACTCATAACAATAATAATTAAATTGTAATATAATAAAACATAATAATACGTAAAAATATAAACACGCACTGTGCATCAATTGATAACAACTAAAGCTACCTGAAAAATAACTATACCATTGTAATTAATAGTTTTTTTTTTTATTTCTTTATAGACAACATGTTTGAAATCAATCATAATATATTATATTATTTATTGTAAAATATTAAATATGACAATAATATTTTTATGTGAAACTTTTTTAGAATATCTACTCTGTCTTATTATAACCGATATAATACATAGGTATTTATTTATTTGATTTTATTAAAATATTTAATATTTTTTTTCGGCATATGTATATTTTTCTTTTTCTTTTTTTTTTTTTTTTTTTAATATCTGACCTATGAGTCACGTAGAATAATTGTCATTAGAATAATTTAAGCTAAATTATTCATTAATAATATAAAAATGTTCTTTATGAAGAGTTTTAAAATAAAATGATGTAACATGCAAATGTAAAATATAATAATTTTGTTTTGATTATTTAAAATGTTATAAATTTCAGTATTCAAAATATTTTAATATGTTAATTATAGTTTTTTCACTAGGTTTACACTGTTAACGCAGTGCTATGTAAAAGTTCGATTTCCGTGCCTATAATCAGTGCTCGTCTTTAGAGAGGATACAGGGGGACGGAGTACCTTTTCTAATTTTTAGACATTTTAGCGTCCTCCTACTCTTATTACGTTAAATTATAACGCTTAACAAGTTTTAGAAACACAATTTTTTTTCAAGCAAACAGAGTTCCCTTTTTTAATTTTACCAAGTCGAGCACTGCTTATACTTGAACTATAACATTCCTGGAATGTAACCTCTGTTTAAACGAAGGATTACTGTTACCGGACAAACGTTGAGGTCGATTTAGCAGATTATACTCAATTTCTATTCGTGTAGTGCGCTCTGACGGCCGACGCTCTACGTGCATTCGGCTGATTAGTGCAAACCTATACATGGGCATTTTCATGACTCACAAAATCGTTTCATACTTCCTGAATTAATTTTTATTTTTAAACCTATTAACTTGAGTCAAAAGTTAAAATTATTATAATTTTTAACACTTCAACACAACCTGGAAAATTTTATTCCTACATTAGAAATAATATTATAAATATTATACGTACAACATTAATTATTTATATTATTTTTTACGATTTGTCAATTTGGACGTAGTATGTACTGGATGTGAAGATGTGATATAGACGGGGAATAGTAAGTTCCTAGACGAGAGTAACAGGTAAATAATTACATACGTTAGTTCTTACACGATAAAAACTAGGTACATACGTCAGTTTCTACACGGCGGAAAAAATTAAATATGTATATAAAAATCTTAAAAAAAACAATGTATAAAGTGCCACAGCACCAACAGTCATATCATTATGTTGGGTTATTTCTTATTGAAACTTTGAAACATTCAAATACTATATTAAAGTATAGTATATTGGAGTATCAGAAAAACGTACACAAAATTACGGAAAAATACAATAAGATACAGGCTGATAATAATATCGCGACTTGACGTAGGAAAGGTAAAATATCTTATTATTACGACTTTTCTTTACGGATAAAAATGATACAGATTTGATTTTGGTTTGATAATCTTATAATTTGTTATAACCATACACCGTAAAATGTCCATCTAGCTTAAAAGTATTGTTAGTATTGTTCGAATCATCCGTGTGTCCGTACATATCCGTATATATCAGTCACAATGAGCGAGAATATATCATTCATGTTAAGTGAAAAAGACAAACAACTGCTGATTTTAAATTTTTTAAATATCACACATCTAAAAAAAATGAAAATACGGGCGTTCTGTTATATTATTTTTTTACCTGGTTTTTACCGTGTAAAAACTTACATATGTATCTATTTCTATCGTTTAAGAACTAACGTACATATTTTTTGTACCTACTACTCTTGTTGGAACTTACATTCGCCCATATAGACCAGCGAACGCCACAGATGGTCCACGATAAAATATTGAATGTTGCAAACAACTCTGAAAATTATTTGAATTGTATTAACCTTTGGTTTAGCGATCGATGGCGAAAGAGATATGACAATATTATACAAAAATATAATATTCAATAACGTCATAATAAAAAAAAATCCTTTATTATTATTGTTTTACTAATATATTTTTTATTTAATAGAATATTTTAATAATCTCTAAATAAAAACCTAAAACCTTGTGTTATAAATACTATAAACACTAACTTTATAGTGGTCCGTAGAATTTAGAGTTATAGATATAGTGGTATATGAGGCATAATAGATTAGTGACCACCAGTGGCGTATTTATAATGTGGGGAGCGGGTACCACCCCGCCAAAAATATATTTAAAAACGTCAAATTTTAAACTTATCAGTAATATAATAATTTTAATTTGTTTATTCAATAATGAAAAAAATAATATATATATTAGGGTGGCCCTTCGTCAAATAGGTGATTTTTTTTTTATAACATTTTTTTCAGTCTTACCCCCTAATTTGGTTCCAATACATATAAAAATTATGTGTACAAAATTTCATGTCGATAGGTTAAGTTTAACCCATGCCCCTCAGTCTTTAAAATTCGAAAGCACGATTTTATTCAAATAACCACGTTTTTTTTTAATGTTTTATTTATATCTCGTTTCAACTCGTTCATATATAAATATGTGTAGGATATTATTTATAGTAAATTCAATTTTCTATATAGTTTTTTGATTATCATCATATTTTTATATATAATTAATTATGAAACATACAAGTTTATAAAATGTATAAAACGTTATTTAATAATGTGACAATTTCACAAGATTACAAAATATCTAACATCATTATATTATTACATTTGTAACTGATTGAATTTATTATCTAAGATAAGCAAACAGCATTTAATAATTTAACTATTTGATTTGATTATCTTTTAATATTTTAATGATTCGAAACAGTTTTAAAAATAGACTACTCTATAAAACTGATAGTAAATACTAACATATTTGTATGTAATCTGACGATCGATTAGTATACTGCGGACCACGATAGATAGTAAAACAAAATATTATACATATTTTTTCATTATGGCTTGAACATCTACTTCAAATATTATTCTTCGTGAACAAGGTAAAATTTTTTTAATTGGTAGTACTTGCAACCAAATTATTGGTAGTAAATTACCGTCAAAAAGACAGGCGTTACGTGTACTTTTTTTTAATATGCGTAAAGTAAAACTCAACTTACACGAAAGTGCAAAACTTGTTATCCAAGAAATAGTTGTATTTTGGCAAAAAGCTCGCATTCCAATAAGACAAGAATACAATAACATTAAGAAGCTGGAATCATTATACGAAGAATGGAGAACTTTACAAAAACATGCAACGAGAAAAACCGAAATAAAGAAGATAAAACAAGAATGTTTTGTGAATGAGTTAGATGACCTCTTTGATATTGCACATATGAATGCATTGGAAATTATTAAAATAAAAATAGATCGACAATTCTTACTATCTCAAAGAGAAAAAGGCAGAAATGGTTGTATGCTTGGTAAAGATAAAAATTTACAAAAAACTGAAAAAAGAGTAATTACTCGGTTAGAAGCAGTTACAAAACCGAAAAAGAGAGCTTATGGAGAAATTGAACAAGCAAGTAAGACAGTAAATTTCTATCAAACCATTTTAAATTATTCTATAAATTTAATTTATTTTAAGACGTACTGTTGACAGCGAAATAATTTGTTCTACAAGTTCTGATAGCGATTCTGATGCTGGTGAAAATATTTCAAACAAATCGTTAGATATTGGTAACACATCCGAATTCCTAGATCTTCATACATTTCAAAGTAGAGGTAAGAAAAAGAAGTCGTATCGTACAAAAGCGCCCAAAATCCTAGGTACGCACCATATTGTGTAAGTAGTTTTTTTTTAGAATAAATTCCAACAGAAAACTGGACTCGTTGCCCAGCGCCTCCACCACTTGTAACGTCACCTCTTTAATGGGATTCCTTCGAATCTACAAACTGATTGGATCGAACTCTTTTAAAAGTATGTTTATTTTTACGAAGTCTCGGGGACTCGACCTCGGTGTGTGATACTTAATATTTATGGAATAGGATTAGCTCATATAAAAGTACAAGGTGAATGTTATTAATTAAAATATATTATTAATATTGTAATTTATGAGGTAGATATTAATGCTAGGAATAAGTGAGGACCGTAGTGGACTTAATGTTGATGGTCTTCTAGTGTCCCTTTTTGTACGGTAAAGCTAGCTGACTTCCTCCTCTACTGATTGTCCTCTACTACTGGTTGTTATTATATATCCACGCCAAAAATTCATAGTCAGCATTCGTCATGACCTCATTCCATTTTCACACACTCAACAAATTAGCCGTGTTATTTTTAAGAAATAATTTAAGATGTTGATATACAACAATTGTTACACATGCCTATTTTAAAAATCAAATAATATCTATAATTGAATAAATGTTGTGTTCTTAATAACCTTTGACGCATAAACTATTAATACTCGTAGTACTTGTCACTGTACTTGAACTGAAGATCCATACGAATACCAATATCTACTGCGTTTATCGAACTCAAATTGTTGAGATAAAGAACACAACAAGTATTCAACAAAATGAAAACAACGTTATTGCATATATAATAGGCAGTGAATTCTCAACGAAGTAATAGTTAATTAAAATAATTTTCCCCGTACTTTATAAAATTAGTATTTATTTCAAACCAATATAATTAAGCTGATTTTTCTCGTTGATGTATAAATAAATAAAAATAATTATGTAAACATTAGTAAAGTCTACGAAATATATTACATTACGACGGTATCAAAAAATATTACCATCATTATTTTTAATGTGATAATCAGGGCTCGCAACTTATAGCTCTAAAAAAGTAGTTATAAGTGCTATAATATGCTCTTAAAAATATGCATATAAGCACTTAAATATGCACTAAAATTACAGAAATATGCGAAAACGTATTTTATAAAAAACAAACAATTTCCATTTGTTATTAAAAAAAACATATCATGTATAAAAGAAATTTTAAACTTTTATTATTAAAATTCCGATCGCGTCGCTCTATATTATACAAACGAATATATATAATTTAAAAATCAAAAGAAGAAGAATAAGTTAATAAACATGAATTATTTACAAATATAACGATTAATACCACTATAGTTACTTGTTGTTAAGAAAAAACGGTTTAATGCTACAGAACTGAAAAAGACTTAAAAATCAAAATAGCACTTATACTTTGAAATATGCAAAAATATGCAACATAAAATTTTGTATTTAGCTTTTTAGTTATCTAAAACTCATATATAACTCGTATAGCTCACATAGGTATTTCTAAGACTTCTCAAAAAAAAAAAAAATATGTACATGTTTTAGGTTATGAGCCCTGGTAATAATATTGTTTTAATTTAATGTTATATAATTTTAAATTTGAATTCTAACAATATTGACAACACTCGTCTGCTATATAAGCTTAATCGGTATACAAAAATATTTATTATTTATGTTCTGTGGTTACGCCAAGTTCCTGGTTTTAACCCGTACGTATCACTGATAAATTACAATTCAAGTCCAATGCTAATTACATCTATACCAGATAATTATTCAAGACTAGACGTTACACTTCCTAATCAAACACCAGGTACCAAGTTGTAGTACGGCTGTAGTATACTACTAGAAAAAAATAAATAAATAAAATATTAAGCAGCTGAAGGTACGCGTTCCAAGTTGCGTCAAGACGTACCGTCTGGTCTGCTTTCTTCTGTTGTTTCTGATCATTACATTCAAACCTACCAATATTGTTTGAAATTTTGGATAGTATTAATAATAACGAAAACGTAGTATAGACTGTTGTTCCACCGACACAACGTAGCTCTTCAGTCACAAATGTTTATAAATATAAAATTAGTAGTTTATATAATATTACAATATAATTATGATATGTACCATGAAAATATGAAATAGGTATCATCGCTTCAATCATGTGTGTCACCATTGTTTTAACTTAACGATTTAACAGAATTTGTCAGCTCCATCAATATTTATGATTGTTGTATCACGTAGATTGCTACAATAATTAACAATTTACCGTTACAACTGTTGACATTCGATGTGCGTGGTGAAATTATTGTTTGCTACGAATATACTACGAATATATTATATCTATACTCATATAGTTATTATTCATTTTCCTTCGTATAATAGGCTAGTTTAATATAGAGGATAATATTTTCTTAATATAATTCATCCTCCTCTCTAACATTCCTTGCGCAATAGTTGGTTCAAGTATAGAATCGGTCAAGGCAAATTATTCAAGTTGTATTCGAATCGTTTAAACGTCATATTAATTGTGTTTCCTCGCGTGGTATGCTAATGCATAAATGAACATGGTGTTCTGTAAGTATAGCCTATGTGGCTACATCCTATCATTATCGATACACATGTTATTATACAATATAACATATCGTCTTACCGGCTTCTTACGAACTGGAAAAACTAACACGACAATAACTACAAATTAAAGATAAATCTGTGTTTAAAATAGCAGTTAATGTTCCATGTTATAGTTTATATATGGTTGTTATAGCTCGTTATCCCCAGTAAAATATACGTGTACTGTAAACGTAGCAACAGCTTATACCTCGCAGAAAAAACTGCTTTCAGTCGTAAATAAATGTGTAGTATTAACAACCGTACGCATCTTACGCGAACACCTAATAAATGTTTATGTGCACCCGCAATATAATCTCTAATAATTAATTGATCGATAGTCGTTACTAGTTATTAACATAAAAGTGTTTTTATATTATCTCATAATTAGTTGATTGATGATTGAGATGACGTGAAATACCGCTACGTTAACATAAGTGTATTTGTGTAACGATAACGTATATTGATTTAATTTCATTGTTAATATTATTATAGGCATGCTGAATCGTTTTAATCGAATAAAATAGTATGTAAATATTCTTGTGCGAGTTGTAATTATTCGTTACATTCAATAATAGAGTCTACGTCGATAATGAAAGTGAATAAGTGTTTTACATTACGACGTAAGTACCGTCTCACGGATTACCATCTACTTGTATACGTACTTATACCAAATTAGTCGTGCATTAAACTTAATTTACGACTTAGTTTTCTACGATAAATTATTTGTACGGAAAAAATTGATTGACTGACGTGCGCTTCAAAACGTAGAACTATATTATGTTTGAAAACTGTTGGTGGAGGCTATTTTTCATTCAGATATAAATTTATATTAAAAATTCAACCAAGAATTTCCACGCAAATCTATAACCGAAGCTATATAGTATTATCGTTTTATTCCCAATCAACCTCTATCCATACGAGTTATTGAAGTTTGATGTGTAGAAAATATTGAAATCAAACTAGGTTATAATATTAAAAACTATAGGTACTACACTTTCTAGTAGCTATCTTGCAAATTTTTACTTTCTGTACTAAAATAACAACGATTCGTTAAAAATATATTTTGTTAGTTTAGGTAATTAATAATAATAAAAGAGCGAGTACAATAACTTTATTACTATATTAACTAGTGATGCGAATTATTGAAAATTCTATTCTATATGTAAAATTATTATACGAGTTTGTACGAGTAGTTTTCTATATTATTGTAATATTTTATTTTGAATATACCTTAACGACCTAAACGAAACCACCATTTCATGTAGTACCGACTACCAAGTAGAAAAGTATATTGTTTTATTCATAACTGTAGCTGACCTGCGCCACACGGATGTTGTTTTGTGTATATATCGTTTGATTATTCTTGATTTCGTTATGAGACCTGTCTGAATTTAAACTATTAGTTCCAATCGAAGCCTTCTACTGAGCTCTAATACGATCTATACTAAACAATAAAACGCGATAATGTGGAATTCATTTTAAGTAAGCAAATGAGCGTAAGTAGAAAAAGTTATTAAATTTTTGTACTAAAGGTTGAACATTTTTTACGCGTGTTTATTCCTGTAGTGCTTTAGTCCTGTGATATGTCCCCTCTAGCGTACAGAAGGTTTTTAGTTAATGTTCAATTCCTTCATAAACTATTAAGAAGTGGTGTTTCCATTCCTTATATAACTCATACATTTTCGCAACTTCAAAATTCCATCTTTTATTTCTTAGATCAACTCTTCTTTCCTTATCACTAAATACATCACAAACTATTATAGGGGCCAACTCATTGTCGGGATGATGCGGAGTGCCAATAAGAACCTATTATTTTGGATTAATCAGTGCAGCTGTGCTTTGATTATTGTTATTACAGTAGACGCCGCTTATAAGACTCACGGATATAAGGTTCAGTCGCTTATTAGACTCAAAATCGTTTGGAGCGGTTCGGACGTATCCAAATACATTAAAAAAATAAATAAATCGGTTATAAGACTCGAATTTCGTAAAATAAATTGTAGAAAATAAACTTTTTTGGTTATAATTTAGAAATAAATTGGTATTGAAAAATTAAATAATATTCGTGTTATTATTTCTAGTTTCTGTTGGTACCTTATAACTAGGGCAGAGGACTTAAAGCATTTCCATATTTTTTTTGTACAGTCACAAAAATAGCAGAGTACGAAACAAATACGTTTCATGCTTTCACTAAGCTAGTTTTGAAATTTTATTTTGGATATAAATGCATATTTTGAGTCATTTTTCTTTTTAGGGAATATTTTACACTTTTATACACTATTTTATACTTTTTAAGACATATTTAACTTAAATTGATTTTTTCCAAAGTGACATTTTTATTTCAAACAATACAATCAAAATGTTTGGATAAAAATGTATTTATTTTTAATTTTTGTCGTAAAATATGGTTTTTGGCTGTCCGCAGGCACACATTTTTCCTAGAAGTGATAACGATCTAACGTCGTTTCTTTAGAGAAAATTAAGAAAATTGAGTAAAATGTATTTTTTTTATTTGGCTATGATACATAATATATTTAAATTATGTAATTTTTTTACCTTGTTTTTAATTTATTTTATTAATACTTTTAAATAAAAAGACTAAAAAAATGTTTAAGTGCATATTTTAAGTACATATTATGGGGTTTTTAAATGCATAAGTGCTTGCATATTTAGAGCTTTTTTAGAGCTACAAGTCTTCTGCCCTACTTATAACGTATAATAATTTTTATCGCAGATAAAAGTTCACATTAATCGCAACGATTATCGTTATTATAGTGAGGTATCTGATTATCTGGCGGCTGCACAGTTATCGTAATTAGAGTACATAAATATACATACGCACACATGCACATGTACGGTTCGCGGACAATTCACCGTGTGATAATTCACCGCGCGACTATTCACCGCACATAATTCACCGCGTTTACAATTCACCGTGTTTACAATTCACCGTGGTTACAATTAATCGCGGTAACAATTAATCGCGCGAAATTATTTATAAAATAATTAATATAGGGACTCGTAAAAAATAAGATTACATATATAAAAATTATAGAAATATTATAAAAATTTATTAAAAAAAATTAAATTATAACATATATAAAAATTATAGAATTATTATAAAAATGTATGAAAAAAAACTACATTAAACATTTAGCTGAAAATTATGGGCTATGCCTCTTAAATAATCTTCTATTAATATATTTCTATAACTATCACATACTGTTTTTAATCTTGCAGCGAAGTCCTTATATTTTTTTTTTCACTACTGTAGAATTACCTAATAAACATTGTTCAATTTGAATTTTATTTAATGTTTCTTCATTTTTGAACGCCTCAATACACTTCCAAATATTTGGATGAATCACATTTAATGTTGATGAAAAACTATTATGCCATCCTTCGACAGAATTGTTAGTTCTCGGAATATTTTCTTTTAAGCATGACAGTTCCATAGGCTGATTGGAAATAAGGCTGGTTTTCTTCTATTTCTGCGGTCTACTCGACCTATCCACGTGTCTTCAAAATAATTTGTCAATGGAGTTAAAAGCTCTTCATGTGTTGTATAATAATTAGTGTCCATCAAATCGTTGAAAGCCTGTTCAACATCATCTACTGGTACAAAACTAAGAGCGGTCATCATTCTTATTTGAAGAGCAAATTCTGAATCTTCAATATATTGTTGTTGAAGTCCAGTTTGCTGAACATGTCTCCAAACAGACTGGGTAAAATGAAAAAAACAACCTCGAATTTTCATATCTGGAAAATGTTTTGAGATGGAATTCATGGTAGCTTTCTCGAAATCAACCATTATTGTTTCCGGGCTTAGTCCAGTTTTTATTGATTTCAATGCTTCAAATAAACGACAGTAAGTAGATTCCATTTTATTAGGCAATAATGCAAAAACTGACGGGAATACATTACTGTATTGGATACCATGGATCTGTAAAAAATCATAATATACACATTTATTAAATTTCTATATATTTCTATATGAATATATTTTTGACAAAATCTAACTTTTGTTACATATAATAATAATTGTATGTATTTGTTGCGTATCGCCAAGAAGACGGAATTATTATTATGTTATCATTATATTGTTATTATCTTTATCAAGTAAAAACAGGTTAAATACATTATTATGACAAGTGATAGATGCTATACGTATAGGTATAATATTATACTAATACTTCACGTTTATTGCACGAAATTGCAATTGTTCGGGACGACTAATCTTTATAATGTAAAGATTTACGATTCGTGATTTACGATAAGAATTTTTGGTTTGTTAACCTTTTATTTGAATATAAGTTTAAACTACCTAACTTTAGTTTAATAAAAATATTACCGTATATATTTGTGTAAACAGTGAAGGTGATGTCGAAAATGTTCCATCTGCATACCAATGCTTACAGTTTTTCATAAGACGTAAATTTCTTTCGGTCGAAAATAAAAGTATTCGGTCTTCTCCTGGGCCACTATCATGCAACAAAAATGGATGTTCATCGTTTGTTAACCGATACTTTTGGGGTATCACTAAATCACTAAGTGATTTTGGGTTAAGTGGTATAGTCTCTTCCTCATTTCTTATCCTCCGAATCGTCCGTTTAATTGAAGTTAATTTTGGTAGATGCGCTGCTGCTGAACTTGTCAACTACAGAATTTATAATAGTATAACAGTTACAGTATAAAACATTTTAATTGTTCGTTTAAATTATATTTTGAATAAGTGAACTTACTGATGTCGAAATTAAGCCTATAACTGCACGTGGTCTCAAGTCGGGTCGTTCGATTGCTTTTTCTTTTAATTTATTCATTGCTATATTCACCTCAATTTTTCCAGAGTCCGGAACATGATTGTGAATTTGTTCTTTTATTATTTCATCATTTCTTACATGTAAACGTCCCTTGCATTTCATTTTTTGATAATTTTCACACTTCCATATTGATTTATTTAACCCTGATTTTTCGTATACATAAATGTACCCTTTAAAAGTCAATTTATCTCTACCCCGTTCACTTTTAATATATAATATATTCATAATTAACAATTAATTAATAAAAACTAACGACGTATTACGTATACTTACGTTCCGGACACGATTGAAACAAAATGTACAAAACGGCCAATAGATATAACACAATTATAATTTAAGTATGACATGTTTTCTGTATATTTTTAAATTTAGCTTTTAGGTTTGGTAACGTCAAACCCGAAGATATTTAGAGCAAAAACGAGTTTTACGTGAACACGTCTTATTAGATTTACAATCACTCAAGAGACTATGTCTACGTATATAATATGAACGTGTATATTATGTTACGATAAATTTTAGCCGCGATGAATTGTACCGCGGTGAATTGTACACCTGGTGAATTGTATTGCGGTGAATAGTCACGCGGTGAATTGTCCCGCGGTGAATTAAATGCGGTGAATTGTCCGGCTACCCACATGTACATACACAGGGAGTTATCAGTTTCCGCTAAAATAATATTGGCTGTTTCCGCTAAAAACGAAAAAGGTATTTTTTTTCTTAGTAAAATATCCATTACTCTATTAAATTTGTCTTGGTCTAAAAATTCTCGGAGAAGGCGATTGCCCCCATCGCTCCCCTCAAATACGCCACTGGCGACTGCGAATTAACACATCTACAGCAAACGTCACCAAAAACATGAATGTCGATAACAAAAATAACAAATACGATAAGCGAAGATGCCAGCAACGGCGAGAACCGCAAGTCGCAACCGTTGCCCAGTGTACGACCGCGACGAAAACGTTACGGAATAGAGGGGGTAATACGGTCTCGTGCGCTGCTGCGTGAAACGTAATAACTAAAAACGGTCGAGCATATCTTTTTGCTTCAAAAATACTTGACTTTTTTGCTAATATATTCGTTATTATTCAACCAATTTTTTCGAAAATGACAAAGGTATAATCTACAAATCATGCCCGATCTATTGATACCACAAACAGACCAATCCGTTCATTCATTAGGTCTGTATCCCTGGCTAAAGAAAACGGGCAAATTTACACATATTCAATGGGCAAACTCTGGCTCGTGTAATATACTACGGTAGTGACCGCTTCGCTTTTTTTTTTTACTTAGCTTCGCCCCACTACCGTCGCGCTGGATATGTAAAAGACATTTGTAATGTATACACTGATAATCTTCGATAATTGTTGATAATCGTCAATAATAACGATTAATAATAATAAGGGTACACTATACGATACACTGTATTATAGTTTATTTATAATATATCTTAGATATTATCTAAGATTAATCTTAAAAAAAATATATTGATGAAAATTCGAAATTTCCGCCAAGTATGTGGGTCTCACATACAGCGAAATTACACAGAACAACCAACAATTGTGAATCTTTACAATCTCATTTCAATCAAACATTTAATATGGCACACCCATAATTTTTTACAGTTTTTACAAATACTTATATAAAAATTAACAATGCTCAAAATAATATAAAAAAAATTTCTAAAAACAAAAAAATATTAATACTTTTAAAAACTATAGAAGACGCAATTACAAAAAAAAAAAAAAAAAATCCAATGAAATTAATAAGTACACTTTTGTCAAAACTGTTTCTTTTAATTATAAGATTTTTTAAAACCTGACCTACAGTTGTATTGTAATTTACATTTTTTGTGACATTTTTAAATATTTAAAAATAACGATACGTGTTTTTTTAAAACTCTATCAAGACAATATTTGACCTATACTTATTTTATACTTTCTAAATAGTTTAATAGAATAGAATGGACATATTATAATATGAAATTATGTAATATTTTAAAAACTCTAATATAATTGTGCTTATATTCGACTAATATATTATTATTATTTACTTGTATTAAAATTTATAATATGTAACAATTGTATTTGGTTCCCAATCGTCTTTTTACAAAAATAAATTTTGGCAGACACGAGAATCATACCTTTTTCGTTTAAAATAATTTTTCAAAATAAATAATCAATAATAATAATTTGTAATTAATGTATAATTTTTATAATATGTATTTTTATCAGGATTATTAAATATATTCAATAATAAGTATGTTATATGTAATATATGTTAAAGTATTAAAATTAATGCAAAATATGTAGTAAAATAAAATTTATAAATATGTAATTAATTTTTTTTACCCACTTCGCCTAAAAGATTCATTCGGTTATAAATCTCACTTTGTGCTGGTCCTAAAGTGAGTCTTATAAGCCGCGTCTACTGTATTACGTAATCACAACAATCATAAATTTATTATTCTTATTCTTTTTACTTTTGTGATTAATATGTTACTCCTAGTCTAAATGATTTGTTGAATAAATATACTAGTTATACTGAAATGTACGGCAACTTTTGATTTCAATCTGTCTATTTGAAAATAAATAAATAATTTTCCGCTACAATTTAATAAATAAACAAATTTTATATATTTTTAATTTATATATTTATGACTATAATAGTTTTTTCATTCCGTGCTATTATAAATGAAATACATGCTTCGACCCCCGTCCTGTTTGTATAATCAGATAATATGGTTGCAGTACTTAGTGTACGAGTTTCAAAAGAAAATGTACATGATTTTTATTAGAGATATATATTTTGTTTCTTCGTACAGTGTTTTGAACCATTAATACTCTAAACATATTATTGTGACGGTACTGCAGAATTGTAGAAAATATAAATAGAGGATTTGCTCATTTCGGGAATTGATTATGTTTCTTTGGCACCTAGCTTAAGGTCAATCAGATCAAGTGTACTGTAAAAACCGTTAACATAATTTGGCTAATTTTGGGAATAGGTTTGCGTATAATTGGCAAAAATATTTTTGCTATTTATGACATTACCATAAAATTTAGTCTGGAAAATAATATTTGGGTGAGCACTCGTTATGGACAAGATTTGCAAGCACGAGACATTGATCGGTGAATATCACGGCGATGCGAGTGTCCCCGTACGATAATATTATACCAATTACACATTTACGTGAGTACAGAATAGGCGTACGACACCCGTTTCGGTTTAGTAAATTGTATGTCAAATCACAATTAAACAGGACCAAGTTCGTAATAGGCTTAATAATAATATCATTATCTGCGATGCAGAGATGATGGGACGCGTGTACGATATTACGTACTGAAAGGTGAGGGGAATGGTGTATCGCAGGAAACGGTCATCTAATACAATGAGTTATTTATTTAGGCAATTCCGTGCGCTATAGTTGCAGTTCATTCGCGAGTCAGTGTAAAAAGAACCATGATTAGGTACGAGTAGAATATTTAAATATTATCGCACGGGGTTGTATATTATGAAAAGGTGTTAAAATAAACGAAAAGTGTTCTATAATTTATTAATATATTTATTCATTATACAAACGACCACAAAAAGTCAAGTCCAGTATAGTTCATTTTCATAATCTTAAGAGTAGTATAATGTCAGGTATATAGATATATTGTATGATATGGTAGTTCTATGATAATCGATGATTTAAGAAAATCACTTATATCACTCATTAAACTAAAACGAGAATAATTAATAATACAATGTATAATTTAGTTTAAATAGTATCAAATGTTGTTATCTTATAACATTATTGGTAGCTAGGACAGCACTGACTTGGACTAAAACACAATGACCTCTAATATGAGTAGTCAATAAGGTGTATAAATTGTCTCTGAACAAATCTAAGCGATTCAATGAAACTATAATAAGTAGTATGCATAATAGTGAGTGTAATGTTGTAAGCATCTTCGTGGTTTTTTTTTATTTTTTATTTAATATAATCACTGTTGATTTTAATATAAATTTATTCAAAAAATTTTCGAAATCAAACAGGTCGATTTCTTAATAAGGTAGGTTGAACTTTTAACATTCTGACCTTCACCAAAAAAAAGCATCTAAAATCTGGGAAAATTACAAGTGCCTATAAACAGCATAAATGTCATTAAAATATTTTAAAACTATGAAATGTATTTAACTAAATCATTATTATTGTTTTATAAAAATTCGTTGAAACATCTGACTTGTTAATATCGTTAATATTTAATTTTGTAATACTCTTATATATTTTTTAATTGAATTTTTATAATCAAAAATCATATGTAAAATTGTTTATTCAATTTTCAAGCTTTAAGTATAATAATTGTATTGTATTTTATTTTTTTTTAATGAATTTTAATTATTTTTAAATTATCAATGATAGATTTCTATAAAGAATTTTGTAGTACATTTTCAAAACTTTTTGTGGATTCAAAATATTGTACCTACCCAACGTAAACAAGAATATTCTAGAATACATTTTGAACAATAAACAATTAAAATCATTATCATAAAAATTATTGTAAATAACCGATGTAATTAAAATTGCAAAATCATCTATTGTTATTAAATCAGTTGAAGTTCAATGTTTAGATATTCACATGCTAAAAATATTTTGTTTAACATGACCTTATTTTATAGAATTATAGTTCACTATAATATAGCGTTAATTAAATTTAACATGATTTGATAAAAACAAAATAAACAAAACCAGAATTTCACGTTCACTTGATATGTTAGAAAGTATTAATTAATTAGTATAAACAATAATATTAATGTAAACTAACAAGTAAATCGAGATTTAAATTGCCTTTATTTCGTATTATCGTCTAACATCGCTATCACAGTGTAATGTAGAAGTAAAGTTTAACGAAAACTATTTCGACCATTCAAAATGCGATTTAAATTTCAGGTATAATTCTATACAATGATGCATTAAGTTGTAGAAACACGTCTCCAACAAATATTGCACAAAAAGAAGCGAATATTATTTCTTATTGTGATAACTTTTTATGAACTCCTCCCTCACGTATTTTTGTTGTGCATGAGCATTTTATGACTGAATATATTTACAAGCATATGACATACTCTAAACCAGTGTTTTCCAACTGGTGTTCCGCGGAACCTAAGGGTTCCGTGAGTTTGCGCGAAGGGTTCCGTGGGAAATTTGGGAAAATATAAATTAATTAGCAATATTTTAATTTGAACTATGATTTGAATATAGAACTCAACATAGAACTGGAATTGAAACATTTTGCGATGTGAGGTTCGTAGTTTGTAACTTTTCTGCGTATACATAGACTAAGTTTCGAAATCAAGTAAATGCGGCTCCGGGCTTACAAATCCAGCTTTCAGGAATAACTCCAGATTTAAAAACAGTTTTGAAAAAACACTATGGAATGATTCTTATCTTCTCATTGAATCTATCTTCGAAGTAATGAGAGTCAAATATTGTATTTTAAGCTTTGATATGTAGGTACATTTATAATATTGTAATAGTAGATAACAAACAAAATAAAATGTTAAAGCGGTCTTGTTTTTTTTATATTAATGACACTCTTGTGCCAGAAGTTTCCGATAACCCACTCATTTAAGTGTACAATACATATGTCTGTATTAATATTATAGAAAAAATATTGGGGTTCCACAAAACGTTTAAACTCCTGCAAAGGTTCCGCGGGTAAAAGAAGTTGGGAAACACTGCTCTAAACTATACACATTAAACCACAGACTTATTGAAC